TGGAAGCTACTGGGAAGCTGTAAGGACTTGTTGGTTTTCCTGGAGGAGCTTGTCATGCTGGCTTTCCTGACGATCTCGGCTGCTCTCATCATCGAAGGAGCTCAGGACCTTGTTGTCACTGGAAATGGCTATGGCTCACCTTGGGGAGCTCTGGCCCTTACCTTGAGCATTGCTTCCTGGCTCCAGAGGGGAAGATGGTGCACTGATCAGTCTCCTGGAAGAGCTTGTCACACTGGCTTTCCTGACGTGAACTCCACTTTCCTCATCATCGGGGAAGCTCGGGACCTCACTGTTGCTGAGGATGCTGTGGCACTTTTCAGGGGAGCTCTGGTTCTTACTTCGCATGTTGCTTCCTGGCTCCAGTGCAGATCCCTCAGCCTGCTGGCACAGATCCTTCATCCCGCTGGCACAGACGTTCGAGCCTCCACCACCGACCTTTGGGCCTTCCCAGTGCAGATCCGTGAAACAGGTCTGCATGAGACTCTGTCGTGGGCTCTGGGCCTCCAGCTGGACTCCTGGGAGGCATTGCAATGGGCTCTTGGTCTTCAGCTGGACTCATGCAACACACTGCCATGGGATCCAGGCCCTCAGCTAGATTCTTTGGCCTTTAGTGTGTGGACAGATTTCCTGCACTCTTTGTATATGAGTCTTTGGGTGACTGTTATAAATAATCTTATAAGATATGTGCCCTATATTGTTCCCCTTGCAAAGCCCGAAACTACAACACAGGGTCTCGCTAAATTGCTCAGTTGCCCAGCCTGGGCTGGAACTTGTGACCCTCCCACCTTGGGCTCCGAGTGCTGGGATTACAGGCGCGTGCGCCGCGTCCACGCTGTCCCTGCGGACCCACGGTGGGGCCCGGGGCTGTGGGCCGTGGGCGCGTGCTCTCCCGCTGCGCGGCAGCCTGGCCTGCAGGCCCTCTTTTTGTGTTGCTAAAGGGCTGCTGGAGTCTTTTTCCAGACGAAAGAGATCTTACAAAAGGCTTAGCGATTTTTAAAAAATACTACAATAAAAATAAAATATCAAGTGCACATGTACAACCAAAAATAAATTCGAGGTCTGATCGCTCCCCGAGTGTTCTTCATCCCCATGTGCGTCCCACGCCAAGGCCAGGTCACCGTCAGCTCGCCCTTCCTTGCAGGGTTAGCAGAATGCGGCCCGATTGTAGCGGGGCTCCTCAAACACCTCTCGCACCGTCGGCGCACTGCGCCCAATTGCTGTCATTAATTAGGACTCGGAGAAAAGCGTGTAGGTGGACAGCTGAGCCCAGGCCTTGAGCTCTGTCTGAAGCCGACAGCTCAGCCAGGGCACAGGGCACGAAGAGGGGCTGCAACCCTCCTCCTAAAAACCACTGGTGGGGCTGAGGCTGGCACTGGGGGCAGAGCACTTGCCTAGCACGGGCGAGGACCCAGGTCTGGGGCCTACACCACAATCGATCCATCGATGGATCAGTCAGTCCATCCATTCCAAATCACTGGTGAGGATCAGCGATCTGTGACAGGCGTGCCAGACGGAAAGAGTGAGGCTGTGTGGGTGTCCGTTTCTGGTTGCTCCATGGCCTGGGTAGAGGGCAGCAACTCCTCAGCTGGCATCACTGGACCTCTGGCCTGCTGGGTCCCAGGGTCCCCCACTGAGGACTAGTGCCCCCCACTTCAGGGCTCCCTTGCCCGCGGGCCTCTGGAACAGTGGAGGATTCTGCCACAGCAAGTAAGGAGCCCTGCCTTTTTTTTTTTGGAGGGGGTACTGGGACTCGAACTCAGGACCTTGCGCTTGCCAGGCAGGTGCTGCACTGCTGAGCTGTGTCCCTGGCCAGGGGCCCTATCCTTAAAGCCTCTTCATCTGAACCATGGTAGATGAGTTCTGTTCTATTCCAGGCCCTGACAAATCACAGATCATAGGAGGCCAGGAGAACTCCGCTAGGTATTTTCTAGTTCAGGTGATTAGGGAAGTGTTTTTTTTTTTTTTACTGTGGAAACATAATTTAAAGAAATTATAATTTATAATCTCAGCACTCAGGAGGCTGAGGCAGGAGGATCGTTGCAAGTTTGAGACCAGCCTGGGTGACAAAGTGAGCTCAAAGTCAGCCTGAACTGCAGAGTGAGACCCTGTCTCAAAAAAGACCAAAAAAAAAAAAAAAAAAAAAAAAAAATTAGTCCCTTTAACCTACTGTAAGAAAATAATCATATTAATTTACAATTCTAATTTTAAAAAAAACAATGTCCATGACCTTTCAGCTAAAACGGACCCAACATTACAGTTCTGTCAAACCGTGTGAGGAATCAGCCCTTGGTAACAGTGACATGTCTCTTGCCACCTTTCAGATAAAAGTCTGGCTCTGAGGGCCGAGGATGTGGCTGAGTCGTAGGGCGTTTGCCTAGTGTGCACCAGGCCTTAGGTTCCATCCCCTACTACAATAAAACAAACAAACAAACAAACAAACGTGGCCACGACTGAAGAGCTTTCATCAGGGCTCTTGATCTAGCTACAAGATTTGCAAACAATTGGGGCCTCTGTAATAATCTAGATATGTTGTCCTCATCTTCCAAAAACCTACAGTCATAAACTTAAGAAGAGTTTTTTTTTCCATATAGCATCAGGGTAAATTTAACAAATCAAGTGATCTGTTATAATATTTACGCTCCTGTGTTTTGTGGATATTTTTTTGGGGGGGGGGTAATAGAAATTGAACCCGGGGCCCTTGCACCAGCTACATCTCCATCTTTTTTAATTTTTTATTTTGAGACATAGTTTCACTAAGTCATTAAGTTGCCCAGGCTGGGTTTGAACTTTTGATCCTCCTGCCTCGGTGTCCCCGAGTGCTGGGATTGCAGGCATGTGCCACCACACTGGACTTTGTTTATATTATTTATTTATTTGTAAAATTTCATTTAATTTTTTTTGGAGACAGGGCTCACTGTGTAGCCCTGGCTGGCCTCGATCTCATGGCCATCCTCTTGCCTCAGCCTCCCGAGTGCTGGGATGACAGGTATACACCAACACGCCTGTCCTCTGTTTTTATTTTTTGAATTAATTTGAACTTGTAACTATTTGGCCAATTATGGATCAGAAAGTGAAAGTTAAATGTCACTGTACAACTGATAAAAGGACTTATTTCTCCATAGGTCATTGGGATAGTGTTGTAGCATGGGGTTTCGCAAGGGGGAACAATTTAATACAGGACACATAGTTTGTAAAATTATTTTATAATAGTCACCTAAAGAGTCATATACAAAAAAAGTGCAGGAAATCTGTCCACACACTAAAGACCAAAGAATCCAGCTGAGGGCCTGGGTCCCACAGCAGTGTCCTGCAAGAGTCTAGCTGAAGACCTAGAGCCCATAACAATGCCCCCCACGAGTTCAACTGGAGGCCCAAAGCCCATGTCAATGTCTCATGCATTGTTTCACAGATCTGCGCTGGGAAGGCCCAAAGGTCAGTGGTGGAATCTAGGAAGTCTATGCCAGTGGGATGAAGGATCTGTGCTAGTAGGCTGAGGGATCTGCCCTGGAGCCAGGAAGTGACACTCGAAGTAAGAACCAGAGCTCCCCCGAAAGGTACCACAGCCGTCCTCAGCTGACAGTGAGGTCGTGAGCTTCTCCTATGACAACAGCCGAGTTCATGCCAGGAAAGCCAGCATGACAAGCTCCTCCAGGAGATTGAGCAGTGCACCATCTTCCCCTCCAGAGCCAGGGAGTGATGCTCAAAGCAAGGACTAGAGCTCCCCCAAAATGAACAGTAGCTATTTCCAGTGACAACAAGGTCCTGAGCTCCTTTGATGATGAGATCAGCCAAGTTCATCAGGAAAGCCAGCATGACAAGATCTGCCAAGAAAATCAACAGCAGTCTCAGGAAAACCAACAGCTCCAACAGCTCCAACAGCTTCCAACAGCTTCCAACAGCTCCCAACAGCTTTCTTTTTCTTCTTCTCCAGCTCTGCCTCTTATGCGGCCAGCAACAATCCTCAGGTGGGCCTCCCACACCCAGCACCACGCTGGTTCAGTTCTGCTGGGGGTTACAAGCTGACCACCAGTTGTCAATCCACTACAGATAGGTAACAGTTATCACAAGGACTTACAGTATTTTACCATCCTGTTATGGAGTCATACTTGTCAATGTCATAATAACGTAGCCAGAACTTAGAAAAAACCTTGATTATCACTTGACTTATTTGCTCCAATGGCCTACCGATTTCCACATGCACTAGCTTTCTCGATAATGCCGCCCAGCCCTCGTATAGCTGTCCACTCCCATGGCCTTAACACGGCATGGGCTCAGACACAACGCCTTTGGCAGTCTGCTTGGGTTGGCCATTAGACTGCCGGCGAGAAAGGTCTGAATGATTCCCAAATGTCTGGATCTGGTGACAGAGAGGTACAGCAGGGTGAGCTGGAGGAGAAACAGCTGGATTAGGGGCTGTGGACCTGAGATCCCTTGGACCATGCAGAGAGAGCCACAGTGGTAGAAAGCTGGCTTTGCGTATCCGTTTCTGGGTAATACCATGCAAATGGGTGAAAAAGCTGGGCATCGTGGTGCACCCCTGTAATCCCAGCACTCAGGAGGCTGAGGCAGGAGGATTGCTGCGAGGTCAAACCCTGCCTGGGCTACAGAGTGAGTTCAAAGCCAGCCTGACCTGCATAATAAGACCCTGTCTCAAAAAGACAAAAAAAGGGAGGGGGTGGTGAAAGGACTGAATCCTAGCGAATCTAAGCATCTGAGGTGGGGCAGAAGCAAAGGGTCAGGAAAGAGTCTGGGCTCTCCCGTCTGCGTCTGGTAAAGCACTGACACATGGTAGGCACTCAGCAACCAGTACACAGCCCGCTCCGGAGCCTGCCGTTTGGCAGGAGCTGAAAGCTAGGCCCAGTCTCACCTGTTCCATAACTAATCTGAAATCTGCCTGGAATTCTGTTTCTTGTTTATTTTATTTTGTTTTGTTTGAAATAGCATCTCACTTGTGCAGGTTGGCCTTGAACTCCTATGTAGCCCAGGCTGGCCTCCACCTGGTGATCCTCCTGCCTCAGCCTCCCTCCCAAGGGCTGGGCCTACAGGTGTGCCCCTGTAATTCTGAGGCTCACACACCTTATCGGCTGCTCTGTTCAGTTCGCCTCCAGGTTAGCCGTGAGTCCGGATCCCACCAGCCCGTGCCCTTCCTCCTTGGCGCCCCTCACACCTCCCCGCTCTCCTCCCTCTCTCCAGCCTTCACAGGGCTTTCTCTGTGCCAGCTTCTCCTGCCTGCTGCCCTTCCATGTTCTTCAGAGTGGGCCCTCTGAGGCACCAGGCACCAGAGTGGCTTCCTCTGGGAGCACAGCTGCGGCCCACTGTCACCCCTGCCGGAGGGCTGGGACGCGCGAGGTGGAAGCGGTTTAGAGCGTGGCGAGCGCTGCCGCTTCACCGTTGAGAAAGGCGTAGAATGGAAAGGACTGCTATAGATGAGCGTGGTTTGGCCCCAGCAAAATTCGCGTTGGGCTGTGGTCCCTGGGGCAAGCGTTGAGAGATGCTGAGCCCTTTAAGAGCAACGCTGTCCTGCTACAAGTCAAGAGTGGTCCGACAGTGGAAGAGAACCAGGAGAGGCCCGCATCATTCCACCGCAGGAGATGCTTCAAAACAGCTGCGAGGTACCGGTGCCGAGTGCCCCAAGGACAGGTAAGAAAGGGGACGGGAGGTGCCCAGCCGGCTCGGCGATCACTGGTTCCTTGAGCCTTCTGACTACAGAAGCCCGGAGGTGGTGAGAGTGACCTCCCGACGCTCTGGACGGACGGCCCATGGGTGGTCGAGCGCGTGAGCGAGGGCAGCGGCCAGGCCACCAGCGCCCACTGTGCCCTGCGGAAAATGCTCTTTCCCTCCCGCGCGGTCCAGTCCTGTCTCCAGGATAAATGCCGCACCGGCTGCTGCCTCCTGCAGGGACCGAACTCCGAGCTCCGCGCTCCACAGCACAGCGCTCTTTCAGCCCAGCAGATCCAATCCATGGCCGGCCCGTAGAAAGGCCTCCGCCGCGATCTAACTTAGCTACATGCAATTCGAATTTCCTGCCCCGCCTGCAGGTCTGTGGTTCTCTGCCTCTTCGCCCGGTCTCACACTTCTTTCACTGCGCGGAGGGCGGAGGCCCGTCTTCTGTCCTGAACTTCAGAAAACCGAGCGCCCTCGGGTCCTCGCCCTGGCTCTCCCGCCTGCAGGGGTCGCGCAGGGACGCGCCCGGGCCGCTCTGAGCACGCGCGCCTCCCCCAGCGCTCGGTGGGCCCTGTGCGCGGCTCCAGGCTCCCTATTGCCGAAAGCCCGAATACCTGCTGAGGGCAGGCCCTACCTTTTCACGTTGCGCTGGGCCCTGAGAATGATCTAGCTGGTTGGTTCTGGTTTGAGGGGTCACAGGAGGAGTCCCCTCCTGAAAGAGACCTTCCCCTGCCTCCCACGCTCGGGTAGCCTCTCCGCTTGTAAGTTACTCGCTTGCACATTATTCCCATTTTATGTTCTTTGTAATGGTTTTCATTCTCTGGTATTTTCTTACTTACGTGTTTATTTGTTTGAATGCAGTGTACCTAGAAAACGGAGATTGCCTTTTCCTCATTGTATGGAACGTAATAAATGCCCAACGTAGACAGGTGTTGTAGTGTAAGCCTACAGTGTCAGCACTTGGAAGGCTGAGGCAGGAGGATCAGAGCCGGTTTGAGGCCAGCCTGGACTACATAGTGAATTCAAGGCCAGCCTGATCTATGTAACAAGACCCTGCCTGAAAAAGACAAAAAATAATACCTGACCAACTGTCTCTTTGCTGAATAAACTATTACCACAACTAAACTTGCTGGGAACAAGTGAATCACCATGTTTTGTGTAAAAGAAAATTTAAAATATATTTGATATTTATACACATCTTTATCGATAATTGCATTTATGCAGGGCTGTTCTAAAAAGATTGTGGTTTCACAATGAGGTTAAATGGGATATAATTTCCTCACATTGTACTCAACTTGAATTATTTTCATGGAACATTTTGAAGTCTGGATTTAATGTCTACTTTTGCTTCCTACCTCATGTGAGCCTAAAATAATAATTTTAGTTTAGTCTAAAATTTTTGTACAGTACCCGTGTGGCCCAATAAAACGTTTTCATTTGTAGTCATTGATTGGACTGTCTCAGCAACTCTAAATAAAGCTGCTGTCATTCTCACATTTTACAAATTGCTCCAGCTCACTGATACACTCCGAACAATGTCCCACCTGGGTGAGAATAAGTGAATGATAGTCCCAGAATTTCAGAGCTCAGATCATTTTATTTTATTTTATTTTTTGGTGCCAGGAATTGAACTCGGGACCTTGCGCTGGCCACCACGTTTCCCACACCTGAACCCTTGGGGTATAATGCACATCCAGACCACAGCAGTGGGCATGTGCACCTCAGAGATGAGGTGTTAGCAAGTCCAGCATGGCCTCACTTCTGTCCAAGCCTGAACTTGCAACAGTGACCCAAACATGCTAAAGTCCACGTGTGAGACCATTTCTCTGCTGCCAATACATCCTCTTGTTGTCTTTCTTCATTAAAATGGCCTTGCCAGGCGTGGTGGCGCACGCCTGTAATCCCAGCACTCGGGAGGCTGAGGCAGGAGGATCATTGTGAGTTTGAGACCAGCCTGGGCTACAAAATGAGCTCAAGACCAGTCTGAACTGCATACCCCGACCCTGTCTCGAAAAGAAAAAAAAACGATGGCCTTGCTTCTAGATCTTATTAATACCAACCAGCTCTCTTAATTTTTTTTTTTTTTTTTTTGGTCTTTTTGAGACAGGGTCTCGCTATGCAGTTCAGGCTGACCTTGAGCTCACTTTTTAGGCCAGGCTGGCCTCGAACTTGCAACGATCCTCCTGCCTCAGCCTCCCAAGTGCTGGGATTCCAGGCATGCGCCACCACGCCTGGCTGTCTCTGTAATGTTTTATAACCCACTTAAATCTTGAGCATATTGAGGTCATAATTATGAAGAGAAGCGGATCTGAGTGAAATACTGCTTCATCTTAAGAACAAAATGGCAGCTATGAAAACAGATGAAGTAGTTAGAGGAGGAACCTTCATGGAAGTTTCAGGATATTTTGAAAGCAACTAGGACGAGTTAGCAACGCAGTTCTGTTCTCAGAAATTACACATGTAATTTTGTCTCTGAAAGGGCAAGCATGGATTAAAGAAGAAAATCTGTGAACAGAGGGCAAGTCGCTGGGTTTCCTGAGCAACAGTTCCGTTTTCAACAAAATTTGGGTTTGTTTAAAGGGAACATGCACACGTCAGCCATGACTTCTAACCCCTCTGAACTTGGATGGCAGTAAACTCATGAGCAAGGGGTGTCGTCAGGGTAGAGCTTGGCAGTTTCTTCAGATCAACCCTTCCAGAACTGTGCTCTTTATTCGTGACAGAAGTCCCCAGTGTGCTTTTCCCGTGCTGACAAATCAGTCATCTCTCAGGAGAGGTCAAACCTGTTTATAGGTATGAGTTGTAGTTGCTCAGAAGTGACCTTCAGCCATTTAAAATAATAATAGCTCAAGTTTGCTTGAGCTGATCTGTTTTCCAACAGAGCTGTGAGGTTTCCAACCAAAGTGGAGAATTAGCAAGAAATCAAAACAGCTGAGCCGGGCGTGGTGGCACAGACCTGTAATCCCAGCACCTGGGCGGCTGAGGCAGGAGGATCATAGTGAGTTCGAGGCCAGCTTGGACTACATAGTGAGACCTTGTCTCGAAAAGACCAAAAAACAAAAACAAAAACAAAAACAAAACAAAACAAAACAGCTGAGACAGGCTGTGGGCTGAGTGAGAGTGCCCTGGGATTGCGCATGCTCTGTGCCTCACAGGCAGAGATGAGCTCCAGACCACAGGTTGCCCAGAGCCAAGGGCCAGCTTCTAAGGGCCCCCCAAAAGCAAGTGGACCTACTCAGAACTGGGCGGTCTGCCCCCTGGAGGAGCTCAGAGCACGGAGTAAGAATGGATTGGCTGCCCTCCCTGACTTTCAGTAGGGGCCCAAGATGGTCTCGCCATTGCCATAGCCTGAGAGACCGCTGTAGCTTCTAGAGCTGGCCACGGCGACTACTAGCTAAGTTGTTTTCAAATGAATTATTAGGAACCATGTTTTCTGTTCAGCTAATCAATTAGCAGATTGTAGCGGGCCTGACTCATCCATTGTAGCATTTCAGGTTTTTATCACTTTGTGTAGTTAAAGGTGACTTTATCACTTTAGTTATATCACTTCTTGTAGGAAGCGCCAAACACTAAATATTCTTTTTTTTTTTTTGATACCGGGAATCAAACTCAGGAGCTTGCGCTTGCCAGGCAGGCGCTTGTACTGCTGAGCTATATCCCGGGCCCCTAAATACTCTTTTCCATATGTTTCATTTAGGAATTTCCTGGCTTTCACATTGTTGCTTCTATTTCCAATCTAAGAGTTTTTTAGGAATACATGTCATAAATTTCAAAGTAAACAACAATAACAACCCAAAAAAGCCTTTTTTAAAAATTGTGGTGACTCCGAGCCCAAGAACTAAAATAAAAGAAAGCAGCGCAAGGCCCTTACTCCTAATCGTGTGCCCAGCCTGCCCTCTGCTGTTTCCTTTTAAACCCTACCAGGGTTGAAACCACATTGTTAATCTCAAAATACTGGTTTAATAGGATTAAGAACTGTCATCAAATGAATAGAACAGGGCCAAGTCCCTGACACAGATAAAAACTGAACCAGAGGAAAGTACAGATTGCTCTAGAAGCTGGTGGCAACTTCTCTGGAGAGACACAACAAAGTCAGTGGTAAATATACGATCTCAAAAGTTGCGCTTGGCGAACAGGGCGTTAATAGAAAAAAGTTCAAGTGATATGTAAAATGTGAGAACTGTATAATTATTAGTATAGCTCTTATTTTATAATTGTATTTAAAAGACATTTCAAATGTTCGTTATATACTAGAAGTTTTCCTTGTTGTTTTAAATAGCAAATACACACAAAGCAGAGAAATATCCCCTTTTAGAGAGGGAAGTTAAAGTGGCTTATTTTAACTGATTTAACTCTGTTAAACATATACTTGTTTGAATTTAACTTTTAAAAGTTTTAAATACCAACATTGATTAAAAAATTCTTTTAAAAAAAGTTTTAAGGGGCTGGGGATTTAGCTCAGCGGCAAAAGCGCCTGCCTGGCAAGCGCAAGGTCGTGAGTTCGGTTCCCGGTACCGGAGAAAAACCAAAAAAAAAAAAATACTTAAAAAAAGTTTTAAATATTTGTATTAGGAGTATTTATAAGGTATATCAAATTACATTTAAAATAAAGAAAAATTTAGCTGTTAACTATTCATATAGCAGGATAGGCTTTATAAGTATGTTTAAAAAGTACATAATGCAAAAATTTATGAGGTTTGTTTTGCTCTCATAAAAAAGAACTTGAGGACTCGGAATTTTGCAGGAAAAAACCTGACACAGTCGCATTAATTCTGTCTTTGGGGATATTTACGGTTGACAAGAAAATCAAATGAAGTTTGGAGCTATGGGGCTGTGATCCCTACTTGGTGTTCAAGTACTTCAGATGATGACCTTAGGTAATTGTCGTGAAAACTGTAAATTAAATAGGGCTTGAATTTTTTATTTTTTGATATATATTGTAAACTTCCTTAGATCCCAAGCATATTAGCATAAGATGTCTGAAGTCATAAAGAAAAACTGACAGAAAAGTGCTTTGGAGCAGCTTGTGTTGTGAACTAATGCCGACAGAAAGCTTTACTGGAAGGCATTTGATGTGGGTTATTTTCCTTTGCAGTAACGGTGAGAACATGAAACCGCCACTTTTGATGTTTATTGTGTGTCTGCTGTGGTTGAAAGGCTGTCACTGCGCACCTGCTTGGAAGGACAAAACGGCCAGCACTGGAAACCTGAAGAGTATGTTGGGTCCCTTATCCGTGCTGTGTCCTGTCTGCATGTTTGTGTGTCGTGCTGGCGTTTACAGCGACTTTCGCTTGAGCGAGAACTGCGTTCACTGTTGCATGATGCAGAGTCCTCATGCAACTGGGACCAAGTCGTCATGACACCAAACAGCTGGGTAAAAATAGAACATTCCTGTCAAGTCTCTTCGATGGAGCCTTCCCATGTACAGCTGTTTGCTATCATGTAGATAAAACGTGCCAACTTTTTGACTGCATTTCTTTTGTATCATCCAGATGTTTGGTGTCATCTCAGCACAGCTTTTAATGAACAGTGAAATAACTTTTCTAGCATTTAAAGAATTTAAGTCATCTGAGTAATCTGCGATTGTTCTAAGACTAAGGCATGGGTAGGTTATAATTACACTGAAGCTGGTTGTTCTGTGGCCATTAACTTGGGACCTTTGTTTGGCGATACAGGTTTTGGGTCTTTAACACTGAGGAAAATAAATTACTAACATAGAGCTGATTTGGAGTCTATGATTAAATTCAGAGGCAAGAATAAGCTCTCAAGAGGCCACGCTGGCTGTTGGGAAAAGAGAGTAACAGTGAATTTTATATCCAAGGTCTTATTAAGGTGTGAAAATGGAGCCAGGCATGGTGGCACATGCGTGTAATCCCAGCACTCTGGAGACTGAGGCAGGAGGATCGCCAAGAGATCAAGGCCAGCATAGGCTACATAGTGAGCTCAAGGCCAGCTAGAACAACGTAATGAGACCCTGTCTCAAAAAACTAACTAAATAAGCCAGGCGTGGTGGTGCACGCCTGTAGTCCCAGCACTAGGGAGGCTGAGGCAGGAGGAGCTTTGTGAGTCCGAGACCAGCCTGGGCTCCAAAGTGAGTTCAAGGCCGGCCTGAACTGCATAGCGAGACCCTGTCTTAAAAAGACAAAACAAAACAAAACAGAAAACTCCAACTAACTAAATAAATAACCACTAGGTTATTAAGGAATCTTGTATTTTATGAGATGTTTTCTTGGCTTGATGATTCTTGGAAGGTAACGAAGCTGAGTAGTGAAAGTGTTCGCTATGTTTACAGGCCCCACTGGGGCATTTCATAGAGGTGAGTTTGTAAAGAAAACGCCAGTATAAACACACAGGAGTTGCCAATAAAAGGGAACAAAAAGGGTAAAGGAAAACAGGGCCTGAGGAGAGCGACAAGAGTGAGGGCGTGCGGGTGTGGTGGTGCCCGGCTGTAGCCCCAGCACCGGGGAAGGCACGGGGGCTGAGGCAGGAGGACTGCCTTGAGTGCAGCCTAGCCTGGGCTACATAATGAGACCCTGTCTCAAAAAAAAAAAGAACAAAAAACACACAAAGGAAGGAAGGCAGGAAGGCAGGAAGGCAGGAAGGCAGGCAGGCAGGAAGGAAGGACATGAGAGTGAATGAGCTCTGGTTGTCCGGGAGCTCACAGTGGAGGAACAGAAGGTATTATCGAGCGGCAGCTGGGTCCCTGTGGCAGCTGACAGCTAATGCACTATGATCTGCTTTCAGACTAGAGGCTATAAAAGAACAATTAAGCTTCTATTTCGGGCACCAGAAAGAATGGTGATCTCATTATTTTGTAATCTGATCAGATCTCAAAAAATGCAATATGTCTTTTAGGTATTTCTGAGGCTGGGGAGACAGATGTGGATGGAGAGGTGAAGACGGCTTTGATTGGCATTAAACAGATGAAAATCATGATGGAAAGGAGAGCGGAAGAACATAGCAAACTAATGAAAACCCTGAAGAAGTGCAGAGGAGAAAAGCAGGTACTGTCCCTGAAAACAATACCTTTTTGCAAACATGTCTGGACTCTAAACATTGCCCGTACTGGTGCAATTGATACGTTACATATTTCCCCTAGTTACAAAGATTCTGGCCAGGTGTGGTGGCGCACGCCTATAATCCCGGCACTCAGGAGGCTGAGGCAGGAGGATCATTTCAAGTTTGAGGCCAGCCTGGGCTACAAAGTGAGTTGAAGAGCAGCCTAAACTGCATGAGACCCTATCTCAAAAAGACAACAACAAAAAAAAGTTTCTGGAGAGCAACTTTTGTTGGAGGAAACATCTGAAGGAAACTTCAAATTTTTTTGAAAAACATACTTCTTATAAAATGGGACTTTACAGGTCTCCAACACAAGAATTTGGGGGATTCATCCCTGTTTGAGAAGTGCTACTTTCTCAAAATGCTTTGTTCTATTTCATCGTGAGTTCAGGTATTGAGGCAAAACTTCAGCATTTGGGCTAGATTGGTGGGGTCCAAAGTGTTTTGATCTCTCATCCTCATTGTTAAAAAATTTGTTAGCGGGCTGAGGATTTAGCTCAGTGGCAAAGCTCCTGCCTGACAAGCGCAAGGTCGTGAGTTCGATCCCTGGTACCGGAAAAAAAATAACAAAAAAAACGTGCATGTTAATTTTTTGGTGTGTGTCTTTTTGAGACAGGGTCTTGCTATGCAGTTCAGGCTGAATTTTTTGGTGTGTGTCTTTTTGAGACAAGGTCTCGCTACACAGTTCAGGCTGGCCTTCAGCTCACTTTGTAGCCCAGGCTGGCCTCGAACTTACAACAATTCTCCTGCCTCAGCCTCCTGAGTGCTGGGATCATAGGTGTGCGCCACCATGTCTGGCTATTTTTAAATGAGACACATGGTCTATTGAGGGCCTTTAGATAGATCCCCTGCAGAGTATCTCTGACTGCTGATCCACAACTATGACCGCTTTCAGCCTGAAGAAGCCAGAGCGGTCATCGCTGGTTTTTTCCTCACAGCAGTTCGGGTTACTTCTTCAGAGGGGGGAAGTGTTATAAGCAGCTGAGGTAGGTAGAAATATTATAGGCAGTCAGACAGGGCCAGGCCCTGGAAGGAGCCGATATGGAAGACAGGATACCTTGCAAATGGAGGTGTACTTGCTGTGGGCCAGACCTCAAGACAAAGGACTAAACAAATGCACCCACACCCCTCCCTAGGGGTGGACGTTAGGGATTGATATTCTAAATAGGCAGCGATCACCTTGCAGAGTCCTTGACCCAACCCCTTACAGGAAAAGCCCCTGTTCTGTATGCATGCTGGCTTGCTATGTGACTCGCTTCCCCATTTGATCCCGATTTAATCAATTTTACCTGAACAATTCTTATTGGCTGACCATAGTTTTGTCCCACCTCATGCCCACCTTGTGATTTCCCATTTCACCCCCAGTTTGGACCCACCTCACCTCGTGGTTTTGCTCTATAAAAATCCTTGGAAAAGAGGGGTTCGTGGGGCAACCCACGCGGGCCCCCCTTCTTGTCCCTCTTGGACAGGAGCTTGCTTTCCCTCCATAAATACATTCTGCTGTTAAAAAAAAATGAGACACATGAATTGCTCCTGTCAGTCTCTGCATGCACAGTGTACACTGAGGGTGAGGGTTAGCACTAGTTCCATAGTTCAAATAATCTAGGTATTTTGATTTATTTTTCAGTGCCAGGAATTGAAGTCAGGGCCTTTGTACGGAGCTACAACCTCACACCTTTTGAATATTTTTTACTTTGAGACAGAATCTCGCTAAGCCACTAGGTTGACCAGCCTGGCCTCAAACTTGCAATTGTCCTCAGCCTCTAAAAGTGCTAGGATTAAAGACATGTCCGCCATGCCTAGCTAGATACTCTGACACCTTTAACCAACTTGCCAGATCTGATTAGATCATCATAGTTTCCTTTTGTCACATGGCCAGTAAAGAGCTTACAATGAAGAAGTGTCAGCTTGTCTTACGCTTTCTGTCCCCTGAGCTTATCTCAACGATGGTGAACATTTCAGAGCAGAGTACCCAGACTGCATCCCAGAACCCACTTCTTTATCGCAAAGTGCCAGCACTGCAATAAACCTGAATACCGGGAGTTTAGTTTAGGAAAAACAACTCTATATTAACATCTTTGTTTTAAAAGAAAAACATAACATACGTGCCAGAGGTTTGCCACTATTGGCTTATATTGATGTGCTTTAATGTTCTGTTTTTTTTGGTTTTTTTTTTTAACCCCAATAATCTTTTAATGCCTCCTATCTATTTCACAAGGGCTAGGTTAGTTACAACTAGATAACACAGTTCCTCAGTCCACCTGGACTCAACTCATTACAATCAGCTGCAAATGATGGGGGAGGGGGTTGGTCAACTCTTCTGGAATGTGGGGGGGTCCCCTGGTGGCCAGGGTCCTCACGTACAGTGGCCACATGAATGTCTGACATGAGCCCCTCAAGACAGCAGTACTGCATACTAAGTAGTCCACCAGTCCACCACCCCATGTGACTCACTTTTTACAGCGCTGGAGATCAAACTTGAGGCGTCAGGCATGCTAGGCAAACTCTATCACTGAGCTCTCTACCAAACTCTCTACCACCTCTCTACCAAACCTCAACATTTTAAAAATTCAGATAGCTTCACTTAATGGTAATTCATCTACTGTTGTATCTTTTACCAACAAAGTGTATACATTATCAGCCAGGCATTGTGGCACACGCCTGTAATCCCAGCACTAGGGAGGCTGAGGCAGGAGGATTGCTGTGAGTTTGAGGCCAGCCTGGGCTACAAAGTGAGTTTGAGGTCAGCCTGAACTGCATAGTGAAACCCTGTCTCAAAAAGACAGAAAAGAAAAAAAAAAAAATTGTCACAAGCTACTGTATAAAACTCAATTTCCAAATTGTATATATTGCATACCTCATAGTTTAAAGATGTAACAGAGCCAGGTGTGGTGGTGTACGCCTGTAATCCCAGCACTCAGGAGGCTGAGGCAGGAGGATTGTTGCGGGTTTGAGACCAGCCTGGGCTACAAAATGAGCTCAAGACCAACCTGAACTGCATAGTTAGACCCTGCCTCAAAAAAGACAAAACAAAAAAGGATAAATTACTTTTCATTTTTAAAGAAATGCTAAAGTGTGATAAAATACTAATGAAATTTATCATCTCAATCTTATTTATTTATTCATTTTGGTGCTGAGGGTTGAATCCAGGGTTTTATACATGCTAAGCACATGTTTAACAATGAGCTGTACCCCCAACCCCTATCTTAATCTTTTTTTTTTTTTTTTTTTTTTTGTCTTTTTGAGACAGGGTCTTGCTATGCAGTTCAGGCTGGTCCTGAGCTCACTTTGTAGCCCAGGTTGGCCTCGAACTCGCAATGATCCTCCTGCCTCAGCCTCCCAAGTGCTGGGATTATAGGCGTGTACCACCAGGCCCGGCCTGGTAGTGTTAAATACATTTAGATTGTTATACAACCAAATCCCAGAATTCTTTTCATTTTAGAAAAGCTGAAAATTATTCCTATTAAACAGTGTCCCATTTCCCCATTCCCTGTCAATTTTTAAAAAAATCTCCAGCAATGCTGGAGATCAGACTCCTGCTGGAGATCAGACTCTGCCTGTCAATTTTTTTTTTTTTTTTTTTTTGAGACAGGATCTTGCTATGTAGTTCAGGTTGGCCTTGAACTCACTATCTAGCCCAGGTTGGCCTCAAACCCACAAGGATCCTCCTGCCTCAGCTTCCCAAGTTCTGGGATTATAGGGGTATACCACCACACCCTGCTGCCAAGTTTATGTGCCCCAAAATTGAAGAATGAATTCTAAGGAACAACAGAGTTAAGAGCAGGAAATATTTATTGAGGGAGTGATACCCCCTGCCTGAGAAACAGGAAGGGACCTGGAAAGTAGGTTGCCCATGAGCCCATGGACGTGGTGGTGCATGCCTGTAATCCCAGCACTCAGGAGGCTGGGTTACTTCTCAAGGGAAGTTTTACGGAGCCAAATCATGGGGTAGGTGCAAGATGGAACAAAACTATAATCAACCAATAAGGTTACAAGTGTAGCTGCTTAGGTAATGTTGACCCAGTGGGGAAGCAAGACACATACCAAGTGTACGTGGAAAGAACAAGGACCTTTTTTGGAAGAGATGAGTCAGGAGGTCCTAGCCCCCACCTGATGACTGATGCCTGTTTGCAATATCCATCATCCCTGGGAGGGTGGGGGGTGCATGCAGGCTTGGTCATTCCATCGTTATCTTGAGGCCTGGCCTTCAGGGAATGCGCATCCAGCCCCAGTTGTGATGAGTTCTTATCTTCTGCACAGACTCCTTCAAGGGCCCAGCCCTGTCTGACTGCCTAGAATATTTCTGCCTCACTTAGTTGTCTGTGATACTGTCACCAGGCTGGTAGATGTTGCAGCCATACCCACCTCCTGGATTCAGCCAGGGTTCCTGGCAAGGAAAGGAGATTGTCTGCCCAGCAGCTGCAAACCCTCTTCCCTTTCAGCAACAAGCAGAAGACTGTAGGAAATCTGAAGTAGCTCCTTATCAGGACGACGTGGGAGCCCCTCAAGCTGGATTCTTCCCTGGCGGGCTTGTGAGTCTGGCCGTCTGGGAACAGTGATACCGGATGTCACTGACAGACCCTTTACAAAGCACGTTATCCATGGAATGCTCCCGTATCTGGGCCAACCATCCTTTCATTTTCCAGCTAAGAAAACTGAGCTGTTAACTGCGTGTGTCTCCTGCTGTGGAATGAATGAGCCAGGAGAAAGAGAGTGGATGTGTACATGTGAGGCCCAGCGGCTTTGTTTCTCTCACTGTCCCAAGCTGCCTGACCAGCTCAGGGTGTAGTCTAATGAGGAGAGGATTCCAGTTAGGGGCCGATGAAGCAAGCAAATGTTCATTTCAATACTGGCCCTAAAGAATCCCAGAAATGGACAAAATTTTTATGTACTCTTCAGCACTTATGGTTATAAAGATCACTGTATTATACTCAAGGCTGAGTACTCAATTAAAAAGTTAATTGATATAAATGTCACATTTTCTTTATGCACAGATGGAATGTTGCTCTGCCTAAAGGAGGACAAACTTGAGTCAGGCGTGGGAAAATGGATGCACCTCAAGACCATAATGTTACGTGAAATAAACCAGACACACAGCTTAAATATCTCATGGTTTCTCTTATATGAGAAACTCAAAATATAGATAGACAGCAAAACAAAAGATAGATCATGGGAAGTCCGGAGAGAGCTCTTTCTCAAATGGGACGTGGAGGGGGAAGGGAAGGGAAAGGGATGAGAAGGAAGTGAGGTGTGCTGTGTGTGGTACAGGTTCTACACAGGGAATGTACTCGTTATGTACTGCAAAATTTAATAAAAAATAAATTTAAAAAAGAACAAAGGAAAGATGAAGACATTCACAGGCAAACAGAACCTAAGATGTTGGGGGTGCTCTTCACAAGTTGAGTGCTTGCCCAGCATGCTCGAGGCCTTGGGCTCAATCCCCAGCAGAGCAGGTGGGCATACCCAGTTTCCGGCTCTGACCGCCACCCAGCCGCAGTATCCCGGTGTCCCAGCAGCATCAGGGTGCCCCGCCTGGTCCTCTGCCCGTTAATATGTATCAGCAACATCTGAGACTTGCTTTTGCTTACAGAGGAAACCCCAGGGCAGCCCATAGTGACCTGCCCCCATGCCAAGTTCCTGTGGCATTTGGATGAGCCGTGAAGGACAGGGACAGAGCGTGAAGTCCGTCCAATCGTTAGGGAAGCAGAAGGCACGGACAAGACATCCTTAGACCAAAGATGACCTCACTGTGGCAATGTTTCACTTCTAAAACTCGGGAAGTGTGGTCTGGTCCGCAGCCTTGGTTATGCTTCGAAGTGGAATGAGGAAGTCGGTCTGAGGCTCACCAACGACAGCAGTGCCGCTCAGTGACAGGCTTCTTTTATTTTACTTAATGCAAAAGCCATCAGATTTGCTGATGAGGATGGAGGCTTAGCTCTAGCAAGTCATTTGGCCAAGGATACAGGGTGAGTGTGGTTCAGAACTGGGAGTTCTAGCGTATGGACTGAAGGGGACACCAGCAGAATACTGAAAAGTGCACCTGACTGAGAAAATCCAGGAGAAACAACCATGCTTAAGAAGATGTAGGATTCCAGTATTGTTCCGCAAAGCCCAACACACACACACACACACACACACACACACACACACACACCCATGTGGGTCACCGTGTGCATATGGCAGGCTAAGGCCTTCAATCACAGCACGCGCTCGTGGCCCAGCACCAGAACTCTGCAATGAGGGCAGCTGACACACCCGCCCCGGGGCAGAGAAGACCTAGAAGACAGAGCTGTGGAGCACTGCAGGCTTCGTAGGCCAGAAAAGGGGTCATTTCTTTTTCTTTTCCAATGAAAAAGAAACAGCACAGTAAATTGGCTTCAGATACAGAAACTTTTCTCCTGCTTGCACTTTTCGTGCAAAGGAGACACAGCGAGCCCGAGGCTGTCTTCTTAGGGACAGGGGCATTGCACACCTCCACCCTCACCGCTCAACTCCAGGTCAGGCATGCAGAGCGGCCTTAGAAGCCCACATTTGCAGAGAGCCTGCGGGTCGAGGTGGGGGCTTACTGTGCCGTGTGCCAGCCCGTGGGGACCTCGAGGGCAGGGCTGAGGCTCTCAGGTCCAGGTGCCAAGGCTGCTGGCTCCACCTGGCCGTGTCCAGCCAGCACCACAAGGGGGAGTGCTCGGGACACAGACCGGAGAAGGAAGCTGCTCAGTGGGGACAGTAGGTCTGCTCTTAGAATGCAGACACACGGTGATATATAAGCCTTGCATTTTCCTGCAGTATTTAAAAACACATCAGTTTAAAGGAGCAAAACTGAAAGTGATAAAACACCACCACCAGGCTGGGCGTGGTGGCGCACGCCTGTAATCCCAGCACTCAGGAGGCTGAGGCAGGAGGATTGCTGAGAGTTCAAGGCCAGCCTGGGCTACAAAGTGAGTTTAAGGTCAGCCTGAACTGCATAGTGAAACCCTGTCTCAAAAAGGCAACCCCCCCAAAAAAACCCACCACCACCATAAGCCCTAAAGCCCAGGAGAGACATGCAAGAGATAAGTTAAAAGGTGGATCACAGTGGATCCACAGATAAGGGTGCATCTTTGGGACTGGCTCTCCCACATCTAGTCTAATGTCCATCACAAACACTCAATAAATACTTGTCAAACAAATGAACAGATCGATAAGATTCTGGCTTCAAGATGACTCCATCAGTGGCCTTTGCTTAACTGAAGCAGAAGGCACTAGAACAGATTTGTCAGTCACTGGAGGCCTGAAGGAGAAAGATAGTAGTTTAGAATACTCTTTTTTTTTTTGGTCTGTTTTGAGACAGGGTCTTGCTCTGCAGTGCAGGCTGGTCCTGAGCTCACTTTGTAGCCTAGGCTGTTTCGAACTCGCAGTGATCTCCCTGCCTCAGCCTCCCGAATGCTGGGATTACAGGCGTGCGCCACCACACCAGGCCAAATACATTTTTGAAAGCATGAAGTCAACTAAAGTCCAGATGGAATCACAGAATGGAAAAAGGATTTCTGTTTCTACTTTTTAATTAGGAGGCCCTGAAACTTATGAATGAAGTTCACGAACATCTGGAAGAGGAAGAAAGCTTATGCCAAGCGTCTCTGGCAGGTTCCTGGGATGAGTGCAGGGCTTGCCTGGAAAGTAACTGCATGCAGTTTTATACCACCTGCCAACCTGCTTGGTCATCTGTGAAAAATACGGTAAGAAGACCAGAGTGCTCAAAAGTTCATAAGGCATCTCCATCAGCTTCACCTTTTAATTAATTTATATTAATAGTCAGAATAGAGATGTCTGATCTGACTTTACCCTTTTGCAATTTAGAACCAAATGCGAACACTTGTGTACTGTGTATGTATAATTTACACCTCAGCATCTGTTTTTTACCCTCCTTTGAATGACACCGTGTGTCTTTCTCAGAATTACCCTGTGACCTTCAGCCTTGTATGTGTTACTCATGAACATGGTCCCACCAGACTGTAAGCTCTTGGAGGGCAGGGATCAGGGATCGTACCCTACTTGTCTTCACTTGAACACTGAAGACATCCAATAAATGCTTGCTGCCCTGCATGCCCAGTCACAGATTTACAGTCTCTGATTTCAACCTGCTTCATCGATCATTCTCCCCCAGGCCACCTATGTGAAGAGCGCCTCTGCTTCCTGACCCCCCCACGTGCACGCTTAAGTGTGGCACAGGCACACGTCGGACACACCCGCACCTGTCTACCCCAGTGTGTCCTACAGGACTGGCCCTTTCTCATCGCCGCTGGCTGTGTGGGGGGCAGAGGGAGTCACAGAGGGTGGTGACCTGGATAAGACGAGCTCTGCCCCATGAAAGGCCCCCACTGGCCTGGATTTTCCTCCTCCAAGGAGTGAGCTGTATGAAGCGGAGTGGAATTTCACTGTCCATATTTGTGTGTGCAGCAGTCAGAGAAGGTGCTGGCTTGGCACTGCCCTACTCAATTACAAAGGAGCCACCCCCAGGATACAGAATGTGCCAAGTTAATTTGCCTCCACTGTTAACTGCATCTGTGTTTGTAGAGTTGCTGTCATTCCCTAAAATACCAGAAACGCAGGGAAGAACATGGGCTGGAAGTCAGATTTGGGGCCAGTTTTGTGACCTTATGGAAAAATTTTTTTTGGAGACAGGGTCTCTCTGTATAGTTCCGGCTGGTCTCAAACTCGTAGTGATCACCCCTGCCTCAGCCTCCTGAACGCTGGAATTGCAGATGTGCTACTGTACCTGGTTCTGCAAATATCTTGGGGCTTTAAGTTCTGGCTTCTTTTTTTTTTTTTTTGGTACCAGGAATTGAATTCATGACCTCAGGCTTGCCAAGCAAGTGCTTATGCTGCTGAGCTACATTCCCAGCCCATGGCTTTTTTCTTTTCTAAAGACAGGATCTTGCTAAATTGTCCAGGCTGGCCCCAAGCTCCTGTCCTCAAATAACCCTCGGTCTCAGCCATGGGACTGCTCAGACTCTAGGCGTGCACCACCCCACCCAGTATTACAACTCTGTTTTTATGGACGGAGTCAAGTAAACAACAGCTGGCAGATAGTGGGACAGGCCACCCCTCCAGATTATTTGCTGAGAAAGTCACAGGTCCTCTAAAAATTCCTGGAGAAGATTTTGAATAGCAGAGAGATGATGCTACTGCAGTAATGTTCAATAATTAATAACAATCAATACGTCCATATCATTATCCTGTAGGAGCCGCTATGGTCTCCCCAGACTTGGGTGTCACATGGATGAAAAACAGCATAGTGTGACTGCTGAAAAATCCACCTGGATGGGCCCCAAAATTCTACAATTGAAGCTTCATTCCTTTCACTATAACAAGAAGGCCTTTGATTGCTGCTAATATGTATCCATCCCTAAGTAACCTACCGAACTGTAGCTGGTATCTATAATTCAGTGTTGATGTGTAGATGTTTTCCTTCCCACAGACTGATTTAAGAGATGAGAACTAGGAGAATATACTGCTAATGAAGACACCGTGCTGTGGTGCGTGTGCCGTGGGTTCGCCACCACTGGATAGACAACAATGGCATTCCCCTAAAGATATTAAAAAAGCTAATCCTACTTTTCGGTTTCAGGCAATTTCCATGTGCCCTACAGGCAAGGAAAGCCAACTACCACCAGTACATGAGACTACAGCTTGATAACTATATTGAAAATTAGGCCTTTTTAGATGCTCCTGGCAAATGTGAACTAGCAGGATTGCATATCTATTTCCACAATCAAAGCCAAGCCAGGTACAAGAATGTTGATACTGTAGTGTCTCAACATTGAGCTAGGCGTGGTATGCATGACTGTAATCCCAGCACTTGGGAAGCTGAAGCAGGAGGATTGCCTGGAGGTCAGGCTGGGCTACAAAGTGAGTTCAAGGCCAGCCTAAACTCCTTAGGGAGACCCTACCCGCAACCCTCAACCCCCCAAAAAAAGGATATTTACTTTTTCCCATCTTGCCTGAAATTCTTCTTGATTTAGGATAATGACTGTAAGCTGACTTTAAAATTTGCAAAAAGAAATGATCCAGAGCTATGCATGGTGGCACACACTTGTAATCACAGCACTTGAGAGGCTGAGGCAGGAGAATTGCCACAAGTTTGAGGCGAGCTTGGACTACAGAGAGCTCAAGGCTGGTCTGAAGTACCTGGAGAGACCCTGTCTCAAAAAAAAAAAAAGGTCCAGAAAGAGATTTTTATTCCGTTTTTTTCTCCCACCCCGCCCACAGGTGGTGCAGTTTTTCAGGAAGCTCTATCAGTTTCTGCGTCCTCCCCGGGAAGATGACGGAAGCGGCGAGCCGGGCGGCGAGGAGTCCACCGAGGACAATGCTGAGGTGTCGCACCTGGAGCGCGTGTTCAGCCAGATGACCGCGGACGTGGCGTCTCTCTTCAACAGGAGCTTCCACGTCTTCACGCAGATGCAGCGAGAATTTGACCAGGCTTTTCTGTCCTATTTCGTGTCGGATACTGACGAGACAGAGCTGTACTTTTTCCCAGCTTTGAACCAAGATCCCGCCGAGAAGGCAGACGCGGAGCAAGGCTGGGCGGTTCCCGACATCTTCCAGCTGCTCCGCAACGCGGGTCTCTCGGTTTATGAAAGAGTCCGCGAGCAGCTCACCGGGACCCTGCGTGCGGTGGAGGCCCCTCCGCAACGAGACCAAGGCCAGTGCCCACGCTTACTTTTCCTTAGATGTCCACCCTACCTTTTGCCTCGCTTTGGAAGTGGAGGGCTCTGAGTCACCGGACAGGGGTTCCTTGAAGCGACAGTTTACAGATAATCACAGTTTCAGAGCCTTCTAAAGGAAGTGCTCTGAGGTCTGCCCAAGATCGACCCTCTCCCGTCATTGCTCAGAGCACGACTGCTGTTCTTTGTACAGCAAATTTTCAGAGCTGAGAGGAAAAGAAAAAAGCAAATAGGGGAGAACTTGAAAAACACAGTTCCCTCCTGCCCTGCCGTTGAGGGAAACGTGCTCAGTCCAGTCTGCTTGAACACCACAGAGGTTCTTTAAGCCAGCCGAGGGTCCTTACGTCCTGGCTCTGTGAAGCCCGGTCTCACATGTAACTGGGTCAGGCCCTCCACGGCCTCCTCTGGGTCACTGTTAGAATTCCTTGTGTCCTAAGCACAGACGACGCTCAACTGCATACCCCGCAGTAAGGCAAGAGTGGCTGGGTAAGAACTGCCCACTGCCAGTACCAATCATGCCCCATAATATTCCATGTGGGAAAAACAGCTGCTTTCTGTTTCTAGTCAGAGGGTGTCTTTTTCATATTTGTTGAGACAGGGCCTCACTATGTAGTTCCGGCTAGCCCTGGACTCACTATGTAACCCAGGCTGGCTGCAAACTTGTCGTGATCCTCCTGCCTCAGCCTCCTGGGTGCTGGTATTACAGGCATGTGCCACCACACCTGGCGGTGGGGTTCTCTAGAGTGTGTTGGACAAGTATTTCAGGAGTGAGTTGGCTAGGTGTGGTGGCACACACCTGTAATCCCAGCACTTGGGAGGCAGAGGCAGGAGGATTGCCATAAGTTCGAGGCCAGCCTGGGCTACATAGTGAGTTGATGGCCAGCCTGAGCTACATAGCGAGACCCTATCTTAAAAAAAAAATCAGATGAGAATTGTAGAGTGTGCCAGGTGGAAGATGGGCCTTTTCTCGTGTCACCAGGCTGGATCCAACTCACCCTGCTATAGCAGGCTTGCCCTTCACAGAAGAAGAATTTTCAGGACATGCCAGAAAGGATTTTAAGTACTTATCCCAGAGCAAAAGCAGAAAGCAGCCTTTATTGTAAAGCACAGGCAAACAGCCCCCAGGAAAATGAACCTGGGAGGAGGCTGGAAAAATGTTGCCCACAGGGGCCCCCAGCTTAGGCTTTTATAATTCAGAAATGACAGCATAGCTAAAATTATCAGTATAAACACAGCAAAGACAGTCTTTAGAGGGGTATGGATATCTCGTTCCTTCTCAGGAAATCCCACCAATCTAATGACTTTGTTTGCTGAGCCTCCAGGTGTGCCTTGGTCACTAAGGTCCATCCTTCACTGAACCTTCCCGACCCCTCTCTGGCTCAGCCTCCGGCCGCTGCACCTCCCTTTGCCAGGGCCCTGCTCGCAGCCTCCACACACACACACACCCTGCCAGGTGCCTACACCTTACGTTCTTAGTCCGATCATTTTACGGCTTGGGTAGTTGTGGCTGTGTCCTGGAAGTTGCGGTTCTTTTATGAAGTATAATTGTTAGGATTTCCTTTTCTCCTTTCTACCTTTTTTTATTCTGTCTCCCTCTGAGATGAGAATAAAATAGGTTCCTCCAGCTGACACTTTCCCACTCTGTCAGCTGTAGCTGGCAACGCATGAATCAGATTCTCAAAACGGCCATGGTGTTGCACAATTGGCTCCATCGAGCAGGGGCTGACCCCACAGCCTCAGAAACGGAAGCCAGGAAACAAGTCCTTCCAGTCCGATTGTGACCCACTGGCCATCCCTACTGGAACTGCTGGATCCTGTTTCAAGGCTGGGGGACCTTTCTTGGAAGTCGCATGTTTTGTCTGTTATTCCACTCTGAGGTTCCAAATTCATCCAACACTCCAGAGAAAGCACCAGGGCAGATGAAACCTATCAATCCATGCTGGGGTGGCATCAAATGACTTTTGCCTGATGTTTCAAGTTGATGTCATTTGTCCTAGAATAATGTTCAGAACATGTTCATCAGAGCACAGTGGTGCCATCCGTTCATACCTCAGCACCCTGACACGTGTTGCTGCATTAAACTTGCACAGGATTAGGGCTGATTCAAGCACATGCAAATCTAAATAACCTTCCCACCCCTGCAACTCCCTCCCACCCCACTGACTGAGAATGGGGAATCCACCCTCCCTACCCGAGGTCCTCCTTCACACGTCTACTCAGCAGACTCATGTGCCCCTGGCTTTGCCATTCCCCACCATCTCTACCACTGTGATAACCCGGATATTCAGGGACCACTGTAAATGCCAACGGTAAAAATAAGAACAACGAGGCCAAAGTGAGAGTTTTCAGGTTCAATCCCAGCCTGGGCAAACTTAGCAATGACTATATTCTTTCCTGAGCCAGACAGCACCCAGTGAGTGCAGCAGAGAGGTCCTTATTCTGGGTGAGTGTGGCTTACTCCTCACAAGCCATCAGGCAGGGGCTGTAGGACACTGGTGGACGGTTTCCGTCACTTTTCTGGACAGGTGATAAGTAATAAGTCCATTGTCCCTAGAAAATCTGCAGAATGAGACATTCTGAGTTTTGTCCTTTGTCCTAGGCAGAAGAAAGGCAGCCCAGACATCTACTCCTGAATCCCTGAACCTGTGACTCTGTTAGAAGGCAAAGAGAAAGTAAGATTACAGATGAAATTAAGGTTGCTAATCTGTTGACTCTAAAATAGGGAAATTTTTTTGAGTTGTGGGGATTCATTCAGTGTGATCACCGGAGTCCTTAAAAGTAGAGGAAGAAAGAACAAGTTAGAGATAGCATCTGGAGAAGGATGTCACCCTGCTTTGGTGGCTTTGAAGACTGAGGAAGGGGCCAGGAGCCAAGGAATGTAGGTGGTGTCTCAAAGCTGGAATGGTATGAAGATGGATTCTCCCCTAGAGCTACCACAAAGCCCAGTCCTGCTGATACTATCATGTCAGGTCAGTGAGACGCACTTAGACTTCTGAGAGAACAGCAGGATAAGAATTTGTGGTAATTTGTTACAGCACAATAGGAATCTCACAGTGCCTCCTGTCATTACAACAGTCACCACTCCCTGAGTACTCTGTGTCTGGAATCCATCATGGATGGGTCCCATTGGTCAAGATCACTCTAAGAGCCAAAATTAAGTTGGATGTGGTAGTGCACACCTGTGATCCAAGCACTCAGGAGGCTGAAGCAGAAAGATAGCTATGAGTTTTTTGTTCTGTTTTGCTTTCTGTGTTTTTGAGACAGGGTCTTGCTATGCAGTTCAGGCTGGCCTTAAGATCACTTTGTAGCCCAGGCTGATCTCAAACTTGCAAGGATTCCTCCTGCCTCAGCCTCCCGAGTACTGGGATTACAAGCATGTGCCACCATGCCTGCCTTTTTTTTTCACTGATGACAATTTATTATCTGTTGGCAGCACACAGACCAAATAGTAATTAGAACAGAATTATGTCTACATAGATGTGGGCAATGATAGATGCTGTTCTATGGGGAACATGAGCATTTAATCATGTTTTAGTTATTTGATCTGCTTATGTCGTTCAGTTTCTTTCTCCATCCACTCAGTTTCCTTTTCATGATGATAGGTCTCATCTTTGTGATGTCTCTGCCAGTTGTTCACTAGTCTTCTGTCAGAACCTCTTCTCTTCAGCCTGCTCTCTTCCCAAAGGCCCCAGCCGCGTCCCAGATCGAGCCAGAAGAACTGTCCTGATCCTGCCATTGTTCCTAACACAGTAGCCCCTCGTCACTTGGTGTGGCAGCTTCTCCATTTTATATCTATTCTTAATTCTCCTATAAAAATTTCTCAGAATTTGATCTGCTTTATTTTCCAAATCTTAAACACACTCTTCCTAACCATATATGCATATATAATGCAAAAAGCATAGTACTGTAATAAAATAAATGCCAACCACCCAGTTTAAGATATTTCCAGTATCTTCGATATTCTCATGTATTTCCCAATTATAATTTTGAAATTTTTAAGTAATTATTAAAGGGCGCTTTGTTTTTGCAGTGCTGGAAATCAAACCCAGGGTCTCATGCATGCTAGGCAAATGCTCTACAATTGAGCTAAAGCCCTAATCCTACAGGTTGTTTTTTTTTTTTTTTTAATAAAAGTCCAAAGAAAAATGTGCCTTACAATAGTCTAATTACTTACCCTATTGGTATTAGAAATAATAATGACAATGACAAGAATAGACACACTAAAGTTAAAAATCATCTAAATGTACAAAGAAACAAACCAAAGCTGCCCTCCCTCACCTCAAGTCCTTCTTTCAAAAGATACTGTTAAGAAATCCTCAAAGTTCTTGCAGAAAATGAAATCATGTCCACTACTGTGTGTGTGTGCACACGTTTGTGTGTGCACTAGTAATAAATTTCTAATAACCACATTCTTGGATTCCAGGTATGTGCAGTTTTCTCATGGATGTCAAATTGTCCCACCAAACGACTGCTCTAACATGCGTTCTTCTGTTTAAGCACAGGAAAAAAGATTTTTGACAGCACTAGTAATAAAAATCAGTGACGAGCTCCACTTCTTGAGAGTGCATATTCTAATCACCCTCCTGTGCAAATGCTACATTCCCTGTAGGCGCCAACCAGGGAGGCCTGAGTTCAAAGCTATTACCTGAGCAGGACAGAGGAGTGTGTGGAGAACTTGGCCAGAATTTGTCCGCATGCTTCAGCTTTCACAAAAGATGCCAAAAATGCCAGGATTACCTATCTGAAGGTAAGGTTATTATTTTCTCAGGGTTCCTGAGGAAATATTTCTTCCGAGATCAGTATCTTCCTCTGGGGAATCACTTGCTTTCCTTCAGGTACCCACCAATAAAAGAAAACTTTCCCTTTAATAAATCAGTTTTTAGCCAAGTGAGATATTTCTTGGAAAGTATCATTAGCCCTTTCCAGTTGGTGGGTTAATTGCCTGATTCGTATTTAAATAAGGAAAGTGGCTCCCCTTCACTAGCTCTAGGTAGACCTTTCTCTCCCAGAGCTGGCCAACTATATATGAACTCTTTCTCTATTTCTTCACCTTTCTGCTCCCCCCTCCTCCATCTTCCTAATTTAAAATCACTCCTCTAAACCCACAGGTCTAGAATGCAAATTTCCTTACAAAAAACAAGAAAAGTTTTTGATTCCTAGGATTTTGCATTTTATCTCAATAAAACCCTAAGGAAGGACTTTTTTTTTTTTTGTCTTTTTGAGACAGGGTCTCGCTATGCAGTTCAGGCTGGCCTTGAACTTACTTTGTAGCCTAGGCCAGGCTTGAACTCACAAGGATTCTCCTGCCTCAGCCTCCCCCAAGTGCTGGGATTAGAAGCTTTGATTACAAACGGGGCTTTTTCAGTTATTTCTTCTATCAATCCAAGATAATCTATACCTGCTGGGCAAAAATTACTTACAACTTCCCAATCTGTAATTTACATGTAACTTCATAGAGTCTGGTCTTACTGGACAGTACAAAATAAATCCAGCAGAAGATATGTCCCTAAAGAAACAAATTTATGGGTGGACACTTTAGACAGTGTATAATACTGAAAGACACATGGCTATTCTTGTGCCTTACTTCCAAGTTCTGCGTAATTGTTTAACAATATAAATATTGTCTTTCAACTTCTCACTCACTATAGTTTGTGAGATTTAGCCATGTGTGTGTTACTCTAGTTCATTAACTCACTGTTGTATGTTGGTCTATGTAGACATATCACAAAGAGTTTATCCACTCTAGCTGAAGTCTTTAACACATTCACAATGGGGCCGTAATTCATATGTCTTGCTGCCGGGTGGCTCGAAACACCAGTAATACTGCATGTCCCTTTAGCCGGGCGTGGTGGTGCATGCCTGTAATCTCAGCACTCAGGAGGCTGAGGCAGGAGGATTGTTGGGAGTTCGAGGCCAGCCTGGGCTACGAAATGAGCTCAAGGCCAGCCTGCAAAAAGACAAACAAACAAACAAAAAACTGCATGTCCCAAGAGTCAAGCCGGGGAGGAATGTGTTGAGTTTTGCTATTACAAATGACTCTTATCCATCTTACCAAACAATAATTTTTCCTTTTCAATCAATGCTTGATAAATTTGTGTTCTAAGACTAAGCATATAGCTATAATTATAATTTCATAGTTGAAAAAGACAAAATATTTTCCCAAACACCACTAATTCTTTTTTTTCACTATTTACTATATATCTTTGGTCCCAATTTTAAGTGGATTCACTATAAGGGGTCTTTTCTTCTTTTCCCATAAAATTACTAGGTCTAGACATATACACCTGAATTCAAAACAGTAGTTTCCTTTTGAGGATGTGTCAAGGGGCTGGGATGTGGAAGGAGTGTAACAGGGATTCTGCTTTGGTAATGTTTCTTTTCCTTTAATATAGATGACAGGCATGTGAGACATGATAGTTCTATCTCCAGCCCAGTTTCTGTTACATAAAGCCATGTAATTAACAGTGCTTTAAACTGGATCTTATGTGAAACTGACGCTGGCAAAAGCATAAACTCTGGGCTTCAAGCTCTGGGTTTGAAGCCACGCCACCCACCTCCTAGCTTCACAAGCATTTTCTTTACTGTTATTTCCTCCTTGCTAGACTGCCCTGATGTGCCTGACCTACACAGAGAACTCAATGAAGCCCTTCGACTGGTCAATATATCCAATCAGCAATATGACCAGGTTGTGCAGATGGCACTGTATCACTTGGAAGACACTGCGTATATGATGGAGATGATGAGACAGCAGTTCGGCTGGGTTTCTGAACTGGCAGACCAGCTCCCAGAAGCTGAGGACATCTTTCATCCCATAAAAGAAATGGTGAGACCCAAGAGTGGACACAGATTCCATGTGTGCACCTTGATGCTTCTGTTTATTTATCACGTATATCTGATTGTGAAAACCAGTGGGAGGGCTACTGTGCATATTTCCATTATGACTGAATTCAGGCTGACTTGATCTAATGCAGTTCATGGTCTTCAGGAAACAAGAAACTATAAAGAAAATGAACTTAAAACAAAAAATACTTTTTTAATCCAGAGATAGCTAATTTTGCTCATAGTTACAGGGCCATAACTGATTGAAGTAACCATGAAGAAAACTGGAAAATGTCATTTTTAAGAGCAAAGACTTATGTGAAAAGGAATTTGAGTTCAAAAGTTGACTGTGAAACTGAAAAGCTGAAAAAGCTTGGAAAAGTTCCTTAATCTTTCTAGGCCTCAGCTTTCTCACCTATAAAATGGGAATAGTAATAGCTACCTTAAAATGTTTCTCTGTAAACTGACTAGAGAGATTCCTAAAAGGGCTGGGGATATAGCTCAGCAGCACAGCGCCTGCCTGGTAAGCGTGAGGTCATGAGTTCAATTCCTGGTACCGGAAAAAAAATAAATAAAGAGATTCCTACAGAGTAAGAGCTGTAAATTATAGCTCTTGGTCTTTGATACAATAAACTGTTGAGTTACCTTGAAAACACATTTTATATATTTATCTTCCCATAAACACATATCGTCATCTTAAATTGCACAGACTCTGACTCCCATATCTGATCAAGAACCCTGTTGAGCTGGGGGTGTAGCTCAGTGGTAGAGCACTTGCCTACCATGTACAAGGCCCTGGTTCTGATCCCTAACATTCCAAACAAAATAAAATGAAACCCTTTCTTGCATAAAATAGTGCCTTACTTTCCTGAGACATGCACCTACTACCACCACCACACACATACACGTTAGTTATATAAATGCACCACAGCAATTCTTGATGAGGTTAGTACTGGAGGTTCATGAACAGATTTGGATGCCAAAATCACTGGGCAGAGGAAGTAAAGACACAATATTTTGTGTAGCAAGATGTGTTGGTGCCCTGCCTGATTCCCAGGGATCCTGCTCTGCTAACGGCTTGTTCTGTAACTTCCCCAAAGGACCCCACTCCTGGCTACTGTGCTCCAGAGCACCCTGTAAGCTCGAGCTGGGGCTGAGAGGCCACCACATCCTTGCTTAGCTTCTCCCTCTTCTCTAGTTTGCTTTCCTCATGCCATTCAAAGAGAGATGTGAACAGTCTTTGGGAAATCACTCTCATTAGAATCTCAGGCTCTGCTTCTAGACAATTTGGCCGGTGACATTCTGTAATCCAACCTTTTGCTCTTTTTGCAGCCTGCAAAGTTGTAGGCCATTCATGATTTGAAAAGCTTAGGAGGCCACAAACATTAAAAACACAAAAAATAGGATAGAGAAGAGTTGGAGGCACTGCGCTAAATGTTATTATGCATGTTTTATATCCATTGTGTGACATGGTATAAATCTGTTCACAATGTAAGCATGAATATTTTAAGCCGTGATGTGAAATGTGTACATTACTACAGACAATAATTAAAGCGTTTTGAAAGCCACTGTTCCTGAGCAGGGCGTGGTGCTACATGCCTGTCGTCCCAGCACTTGGGAGGATGAGACAGGACTGCCATGAGTTCAAGGCCAGCCTAGGCTAGTGAGTTCAATGCCAGTCTAAACTACAGTGAGATCATGTCTCAAAAAAAAAGCTGGGCCAGACATCGTGGCGCATGCCTGTAATCCCAGCACTCAGGAGGCTGATGCAGGAGAATCTTTGCGAGTTTGAGACCAGCCTGGGCTACAAAGTGAGCTCAAGGCCAGCCTGAACTGCATAGTGAGACCCTGTCTCAAAGAGACAAAAAACCCAAAAAAAAAACCCAACAACACTCTTCCCACCCTTGCTGACTGTGACTCTACAATTCCACTGTCATATTCTAGAAGGAAAAAAGAATTTGGTGCATTTAATCATGCTCACACATATAGACTTACGGCTCAATGAAGAATGATATTTTAAGAAAATTTTAGCAGGCTTTTCAAACTTTAGAGAGCTATAGCCAATATTATTTTTATTATTGTATTTCCTTTTCTGTGCTTCAATTTTGTCCCATTCTACTGAATAACAGTAACAAATTTATCTAAAATTTTTTTGTGTGTGGCACCAGGAATTGAATCCAGGGCCTTGCACATGCCAGGCAAGTGTTCTACCATTGAGCAACACCCCCAGCCATTTACTTGTTTTTGTGAGACAAGGTCTATGTAGCCCAAACTGGACTCAAATAACGGTCTCTGCCCCTCCAGTGCTGGAATTATAGGCATGCAGCATATGTCCGGTTTATAGCCTTCTTTTAAACTTTGAGAAAGGCTCTTGTTAAATCACTCAGGCTGGTCTCAAACTTGTCATCTACCCGCCTGAGCCTTTCTAATAGCTTAGATTATAGGTGTGCTACTATGCCTGGTTTAAAATTCCTTATATTGCTATCAAGGCACCACTATGTGAAAGCCTCCACATAAAATATTGTTCAACTATGCATCTTTATAATCATCATCACTAAAGTGCACATCAGGCAATGTTCTAAGAACATTTTCAATTTTTTTTTTTTTTATTTAAGAACTTTTTCTATACACCAGATCATATCATCCTCTGAATATCCCTGTAAGGCAATATCTTGGCATGTGTGAGGTCCTTAGGGAGTCAATCTCCAACCAAAACAAGGAAGAAAAAAACTCTGAGGCTGCATAATTTACAAAGAAAAGAGCTTTATTTGATTCACACGCCTAGGCAAGCAGCACTTGCTGCTCTGAGCACGGAGGAGACTGGAAAGTAGATGTGTGGGAAGGAAGCATGTAAGAGACCAAGGGTAGGTAGGCGGGGAGGTGCCAGGCTCGCTTGATAATACCAGCTTTCCTGATGCTTCAGCTAGTCTCTCCAGATCTAACTCACTCCCCCAAGAACTAATCTTTTTTTTTTTCCTTTCTGATGGTATTGGGGATTGAACCTAGGCCTTCACACTGAGCTACATCTCCAGCCCCCCCCCCTTTGTTTTTTTGAGAGGGTCTCACTAAGTCACTTTACGATCTTCCTGCCTCAGCACTCCCAGAGTGCTAGGATTTGGGTGTGGGTTATCTTGCCCTAATCACTTTTTAAAGGCCCCACCACCTCTCAATAATGTGACATTGGGGATTTTTTTTTTGGTACCGGGAATCAAACTCAGGACCTTGTGCTTACCAGGCAGGTGCGGTGCCACTGAGCTAAATCCCTGGCCCGTAATAATGTGATATTGAGAATCAAACTTCAAAATGAGTTGTTTTGGGGGACAACCTATGTCGAAGCCACTGCAGATCAGCAGAATTATTCTCATTTCTCAGATGACACACAGAACAGAGTAGGCAGCTTGTGCAAGCTCATACCTGTAAGACCGGAGCACAAACTCAGGCAGGTGTCTCCAGAATCAGCACACTCAACCACTCTGCTGAACTGCCTGTAAAAGTTATTTTTCTCAAAGTTGCTCTTACTTCATCATGTAAAGTTCAACCCCATCTCAAACAGTAAGGGTTGAAGAGAAGCCTTATATAGGAACTATACAAATGCCAGCAAGTGAAACAATTATGGGCCCGAGTTATGGTATAGAGGTGTTTGCTTTATATCTGTGAAACTACACATACATTTTCTGCAATTTTATATATATTACATTCACTAAAAGCGAAATGTTATGCAATTTACTCCTTTGTGTACTAGAATTGCAAATTTACTGGTTTTAATTTGGGCTTAAAAGTTTTTGCTTCTGTTTTTGTTTTTTTGGGTTTTGTTTTGCCTGCTAAGGGAATTTACTGGAAAAATTTTCAAAATAGTTCTGAGGTTACATCAAGTTTATGTCATTTAAGTTTCACTTAAATTATTAAAATGACGTACAATATGTGCACTTCAGAATTCGGTAAAAGTTAGGCATGGTGACATGTACCTGTAATCCCAGGTCTTGGGAGGCTGAGGCAAGAGGATCATAGCAAGTCTGAGGCTAGCCTGGGCTACATAGTGAGTTCAAGACCAGCCTGAACTTCATAGTGAGATATGTCTCAAAAAAAAATATTCAGTAAGAGTAACGAGGAGCCAGGCGTGGTGGCGATCACTGCGAGTTCAAGACCAGCCTTGGCTACAAAGTGAGCTCAAGGTCAGTCTGAACTTCATAGCAAGACCCTGTCTCAAAAAGAAAAGAAAAAAAAAAAAGAGTAACTAATATGCATTTTGACTGATAGGTTCTTGTCAAAATCACACACAATCATACACTGTATATTGCCTAGAAAAATGTGGTGTAAACTTGGCACTCTACACTGGTGTGTGTGGCACAAATAGCATTCACAAACATCTCACCTGATCACTTGTTTTTTGGCTCCTCTTGCAGTTACATGGTGCCACAGGGCAAATTCTGGCTAACGAAACGTGAGCAAAATGACAAGGATTATTTCTACGTGACATAGTAAAGAGCTTATACTGTATGTGCTTATCCATGCCCTTCGTCCGCTAAGTTCACAAGGGAAGCCAGGTGTCCCCAAGCTACAGCCATGAGATGATACATTTCTGTCACCTTGAATAGAGTGTCTTCATAAAGAGATGAAATTTTTTGTATAAAGCTACTGGTATATTGGGGCCAATTTGTTACTTCAGCACAACCTAGCCTTTCCCACTAGTGTGATGTTAATTTCAATGTGCACTGGGATGTAAGAAGCCTTTTGCTATACAACCCTTCCTCTTTAGGTACCTCCAAGTGATCGTGAAGGAAAATTTTCCCACCAAGATGACACAATGATTCCTTCAAGCCTTCTGCCTTCCCTTAACTTCACACTTAGGAGTCCACTTGAAAAGAGGGCTGGCAGCTCTAACTTCATTGATTATGTGGCAGAGAAGGTTCTTCAACACTTTAAAACTTGGTAAGTATGTTGCCTGATTAGGAATGTCTTTTTTGATGGGAATAAATGATTCATAAAAGGAAAAAGAGAACTAGTTTTAAAACCTCTGAAAATATGTTCAGTGTTAAATTAACCATGCATGGGAACAAGATTACACTTTCTACCTATCAAATGTGCAAAATTTAAAAAGCCCACAGTGGTGGTGCACGTCTGTAATCCCACCACTCTGAGATGCTGAGGCAGGCGGATCACAAGTATGAGCTCAGCCTGGTCAATTTAGTGAAACCCTTACTCAAAATAAAATATAAAGAAAAGGATGTAGCTCAGTATGAAGGCTCTGGGTTCAATCCCAAGTACTGCAATAAATAAATAGCCCCATAAAATCCTTGGAAATTTTTATCTGTTATTGGTGAAAACATAAACAAACTGGTTTTGCCTTCTTGAAAAGTTATTTGATTCTACATACTGAGTCATAAAAAAATCTTTTTTTATATTCTTCCACTTCTGGAATCAATTCTTAGAAATAAATTTAAATTTGATCAAAAGTACTATTTTCAAGATTTGTATGTACAAAATTATTTAAAATAGTAAAAATACTCAAGGCAAACAAAAGAAGCAGATAATAGCTAAATTAAGCAGATCACAGCTAAATACACTTACTCTATTTTATGAAACCATTGCCAGGCATGGTGGCACATGCCTACAATCCCAGCACTTGGGAGAATGAGGCAGGAGGATCACTGGGAGTTTGAGGCCAGTCTGGGCTGTAGAATGGTTTTAAGGCCATCAAGACCCTGTCTCAACTCCCCCCACCTCAAAAAAACCCAAACTATTAAAAGTAGTTATAAAATCTAAATAAGGACATGGCAACTACTGTAACAAGATTTTATTATATGCCCATCTTTGAGGTAATATTATTTTGATCATTTCTTCAGAAAAGGAACCTGGGGCTCAGGGTTCAAGGTTAAATGAACTGCTGACTGTGGTGACACCTTCCTATAATCCCAGCTCTTGGGTGGCTGAAGTATAAGGACTGTGGCAAGTTTGATCCCAGCCTTGGCTACACTGAGTGAGTTTCAGGCTGCTGTGTTCAGCACAGCTCTCAAAGTTTCTGGAGGGAAGGATTGTGAGAGAATGGAAAAATAAAAGAGACAGAAAGCTGAGCTCAGGTGGAGCCCTCTCTCCAGCTGAGAGGGAAAAAGAACTTTTCAACCATGGTAGTATGGTTATTTATACTCTCAGGAGGTTGATGTCAATTTCAACCTCTCTGCCTAGCAACTTTGTATGGCTCTCCTTAGCAGCTTGCCTTCTGGGAGCTGGAACAGCTTGTTTTCATGGCTTGCCTCACAAGCGTGACTGATCTCCAGCTTGAGCGCTCCCCACATCTCCCCCTTTTCCTGTTTTATAGTTGCAACTGATGGGTGGTCAGCTGAAGTTAAGGAACTGGAGGAGCTGTATTTGGAGGACTCTGTAGAAGACCTCCTCATTCTTGAACTCTTTCCATTTTGAGTGAACTTACTCATTTACGCTGAAGATTCCCAGTCCAAGGATTTCAGGTCCCTGTGTTCAGCAATTTAACCCTATGCAGTCCATTAACCCTTAACAGTAGTCAGTTACCAGTGCAGTGGGCAATTATCAGAAGGTGTTAATGACTTGAATTTTATAGCTAACCTATTATGATGGCATTGTTTTATACATCTTGTGATTATACCTTCCTGTTGGATGTTCAAGACCAAGTTAAGGTGAGACCAGTATTAATCAATTTTTTTCTATCTATCAAGGTCAGTTAAGTCTCCTCAGGAATTACCTTGGAACCATGCGCAGTATCTCTCAGCACTTAGCACTTCTGGCAGTCTCAGCCATCTGGATGAGTCACAGCCATTGCTTGACCAAGTTGCTTTCTGTGAAAGCTTGGGAGACTTTTTTCTCTTAGTGACTCTCAGACACACTATACATTGTTGATTACTTTCCTCTGTGGTCCCAAACTCTCCTTGGTCAGGAGACCAGGGACTCACCAAGTTATAGGATGTCGCAGCAGAGGCTCTCTTATGTCCTGGGTCCTCACTGACCTTGAAGGGCTGGGGTCAAAATATTGGCTATCTTCTTAGCCCATCTTTCTAGTTTTTAGTCTCCAAACCTCAATTGTTGAACATACAGAAGACTAATGACATTACCTTGTAATAGAGGTAGTAAGTTTAATATTATCTTATATAACTATCAAGCACCTTAGAACATAAAATAGAACTGTTATTTTCTAACAACCATGGATATTCTAATATTTGAATCCCTATAAAATGTTAATGGTTACATATTTTACACAGAAAATTAGAAATCAAAAACCATACATAATATTACAACATGACAATCACAATGACATTTTGTTTTTTTTTTTGGGTTTTTCTCTGGTACTGGGAACCAAACTCATGACTTTGTGCTTGCCAGGCAGGCACTTTGCCACTGAGCTAAATCCCCAGCCCACGATGACATTTTGTAACATACTTAAATTTCCATTTTGACATAGAATAACTCTTTTAATCAATCATCTCTATCTAATACATAAGAAACTTTTACCTAACTTGTTGTTCTTTAATGGGATAAACATCATATAAGTTTTTGTTAAAGGCAGATGTCTGAATCTGAAAGAAATCTATCACTACAAGCAATCCTTGTTACACACTTTGGAAGACCTGCACATCTGCAGATATGAATACATGCAATATACTACAAAAACAGTAACAATCAATGGTCATAGCCATATGAAAACCTTTGTAGCAGAGCAACTTTAAATCTGCCACTCACCTATATCCCCAGCCCTAAATCAAAAACCTTATTGTTTAGAAAACTTAATCCTTTGATGAGCAATGTAAACATATTACAATAATATATTTTAATAACATTTATTGGGGATCTCCCATAAGGCTATGGAGATCACTGGGGCTTCCCACTAATGAATAAGAACTGGATAATGTTTCTAAACAGCTGCTTTCTTATTGATCAACTGGAGTCCTGCCCAAAAATTTCCCCCCAACCTAAAAGATTTTTGTTTAATTATCGTAACAATTTTTGATGACCTGTGAGAAAACCAAATTTGGTAACATTTTAACCAGCTGGCAACCCACGTGGAAGCATACTTTTTAAATCTAAAAATCAAATTAAATTATGAACAAATGATCCAAAAATGCAGAAGAAAAAAGCAAAAGACAAAAATTGTTGAGCTAAAATAAAAAAGCTGTTGACAGAATCGACAAACAGATACACAGGCAGACTGACAAACAATTCACCTACAACACCAGAGTGCACTCACATATATTTTTGGCCAAATTAAATTATAATAACTTTTTACAATTTTAGAAATTTATAATTATAAACAGACTAGTCAGATTTATTTATAGGTCAATTAGCAGAGATCTCTTATAAGAAGAATTTAGAAGGAATAAAATCTTTTATCTATAATATATACTTTTTGTATTTTATTTTAAGAATACTCACAACTTTCAGCTCAGGCTTCTCTATATACTCAATCACCTACTCAGACCTTTGACTGCCATTTTTGGTTACCATCTCCCAGGCATTCTGGGTCAATTCCTTTAATTGGCCCCAGGTCAGGTCTAGCCCCATCCTTGTCTATTAGCTGTAGAGCAGTCTCTGAGACATCACTGTCATAGGACTGAAAATCAGCTTCTTGAAAGGTGGCATCAACTCCTCCAAGCCTGGGTTCATGATACAGCTGGAAAGCACACATCTGGTACCCAGAGAGGCCATTTGACATTCTCTGGAAAGACACAACCATACCCTTGACCCCAAATTAGCACTGGGCTGGGTCCCTTCCATTATCCAGTATGAAGATCTTTGCAAAGGACCCTTCCTTGCTTTTTTTGTTTTACCTGATTTGTCTTTCTGCTGCTGTAGTCCCATCTCTAGTAGGATTTTAAAAGTTAATAGTATATATTGCTAAGTGAAGTCTATTATGAGTTGTAAATTTTATAGGGAAGGATCCCCCTTTTGTATGTAATTGAATTTTGAGTGTATGGTGAGCTCATTCAACAATTCCCTGACCTTGAGGGTTATAGAAAACTCCTGTGGTAAGAGAAATATGAAAAGTTTTACAAAATGTTTGGGAGGCAGCACTTGTATAGGCTGGGCCATTGTCAGTTTTAAGTGCCAGCAGAAAGCCAAGGGTACTAAAGGCATCCAAACAATGAGCAATGACATGTTTAGTCACTTCATCAGTGCAGGCAGAAGCAAAAATAAATCCTGAGGAAGTATCTACTGAAACATAGACCCAGTGTAAAGAGCCAAACTCAGGAATGAGTGAAATCCATTTTCCAGAGCTGACTAGGGTATAATCCAAGATTAACCCCTACAGAGGGTGAGGGAAAATATATTATGCATGAGAAACATCATTTAACAATTTGTCGAGCCTGTTCCTGGTTTAAATGGAACTGTTTGTGTAAGGCAGAAGCATTTTGCTGAAAGGTGGCATGGGAAATAGAAGCTTGTTGAGTGGCATCTGAGGGGTAACAGTGACAGTAGCTGGTAATCTGTCTATTGACCCATTTCCCTCAGAGGCCCTGGCAATTGGGAATGAGAACAAAAATGACCAATAAAACGGGATATCACATGACCAAATAGCAAATTGGAGAGTGAAATAAATGAAAAAGATTTTCCTGGTTAGTGTGAATCGTGGCAGTTTCAATGTGGTGCACCACACTACAAACATAAGCACCGTCTGAATAAAGGTTAATTGGAGTAGATGAACGATCTTGTAAGCCCCATATAATAACTTGCAATTCCATCTTTTGAGCAAAAGAAAAACCCATATCCTGTATTCAGGAAGAGGAGGCCATAACATAACCTCCTGTGCCCAAGGAGGGGTCATCTGTGAAAACAGAGACACTTCCAGGTATGGGAACTGAGCTTATTTTTGAAGGGAAGACAAAGGGTGTGAGGGAAGCATATTGAATTAATTAATCTACCTGGAGGATAATGACAATAACACAGAAGAAGTTAACGAATGCAGTTTGCTGAGAGAATTGCCATAACCAGTGTTGAACCAAAGAAAAGGGAACAATAATATTTTGCACCTTATGTCCAAAAAGCTGAATAGCACATATCTGCCACATGTGATCAGTCCTGCCACAGCATCATAAAAGGGTGTAATGGTTTTATGTAGAGCATGTGGCCTATGTAGCCATTTTAGAGGGCCTTGAGACTGCCAATGGACCCCAGTGGGCATATGTTGAGTTGGGAAAATAATTAAAAATACAGTAAGCAAGTGCTTTTTGCTCAAAAAAAAAAAATACCAGCTTCATCTGTACTAAATTAAAACCAAATGACTCTTTAGGTGTTAAGCCTGCAGACTTTGCTCTCTATATTTCTTCACAGAATATAAAAATATTTTAATTACTTGTTCTAGGTGAGAAGAACATTAACACTTAATTGTGGAAACTTAAATACGTCTTTGTTCGTATCCAAACTCCAGGAAGCCTCTGTAATTACAGCCCATGATATCTGCATTATGTGCAAACAATCACCTCTTGGACATTTGGTTCATATTATTTTCTTTAGCACCATGGTTGATACATAGTTCACCCTGAATGTTCCAGTTGTTTCCAGTGAGGGCTGACTCTGCCTGCCTAAGAAGTCTAGAAGTACAAATTATGTTTTCCATCTTCATTCTCTAAGCTTCTGCCATTTACTTAAAGCAATGATCACATATGTGTGTTATGTTGTGTATGTTGTATGTATATGTGTGTACATACAGTGTAATGATCTGCCTTGTGCCAGGAAAGATTAAAGGGCTCATTTCAGAATATCTCTGGAAGCATCTTAAGAGTTTGCCTCACAGGATTATGTAATGCACTAACCAACGTGGATTCTCACATTTGAAAATTCTGTCATAAAACCTTGATACAAGGCCCAACTATCAATTTATCTTAGTCAAATAAGATTGTGTGTTAATAACTAATTACATTCCAAATTTCCAACATTTTTAAAAAATCTTTCTTGCTTGAAGTTGTTAAAGGGAATTTCTATTAAGCATTTCCACCTTTTTCCCTTCCCTCAGTAGATACCTGAAGCTTCCCTTGTTCCTTGTCTTCCTCAGTCTTACTGCTCCTGCTCAGAGAGTGACCCCAGCTCCACCCTCACCGAGAGGATAGTAAATACAAGAAATTTCCCCTAATGTATTTATTTTCTACCTCAAAGTCTACCTGTATGTTCTTTCTGTGTAAGCCTCATCTGATCTCCTCTCTCAACTTTCCCCCACATCTTGATTTGCAGTGATCTTTTCTAACAGCAATTTATCCCTTTTCATTTAAGAACTTCCAGGTCCTTAGGTCATAGCCATCCTGAGACCAATCCAGGGTATCTCTTCTTTCCTTAAAGGCTGCCATTCTCCTTTTATTTCGCCTACTCTTTCAACCCTCAAATCCACATCAGTAGATATATGTCTCACCAATTTTTAAAAATTTGTCCTTTCAACAATTTCCAGTGACTTCTTAAACCAAACAAAAGATTGTGTTTCAATCCCTAGATTCTCTGAATTCTCTGCAACCTAACAACCTGTATATAATTATTCTCCACCTAAAAAGTTATTCCTCTTGCAGTTTCCCTGAACTATATTAATCTGTTGGAACTTTCCTTATTCCATTTGTTACCACCTTCTCTTTCACTTTCACTGTTCTTTTTTTATTTTAAAGAGAAAAGAAAGCAAAACAATAACAATGTAGATAAAATAAAACACAAAAACAACAAAAAGATACACAATTTCAAAACAAGATGAGAGGAAATGAATAATGGTTGTTATATTACATATTGTTATCTTCAACGAAGTTGCTCAGATTACTCAATATAAGAATGCAAGATTGATCAAAGACAATAAAAATAACTAAAAAAATATAAATCACACAAAGTTTCACTAAGAAAGATGGTAGGAAATCAACAATGGTTGTTATAGTGCATACTGTTACCTTCAAATTAGTTGTTCAGATTACCAGATATAAGCATGCAAAATTGGTAAAAAAAAAAAAAAAAAGCATTAATGGTTCCTTTCAATAAACCAATAGACATCAGCAGTACAATGATCCCAGCCATCCTTGTATATCCATATATTTTTCCCTTCTTTCTTTCTTTTCTCCATTCCCTCATCCCTTGTGTATGAAAAGAGAGAAGGTCAGCACTCTTGACAAGGATGGAAGAGGCCCTTGGGCCTGACAACACGCATACGGTTAAGGCATTGCCACCTACTCCCTCATCCCAGTTGTTCCTGCCCTTTGAGCAGTTTCTTTCCCTTGCACAATATCTATTGTAACATTTGGATTTTATTTACTCTTTCAGGTTCTTACACTAGGGAGACAATACAATGTTTACACATGCGGATCTGATTATTTCACTTGTGAGTATACTCTCTAGTTGCATCCATTTACCTATAAAAGCCTCAAGTTTCACCCCAAGACTCATGCATATCCCTTTACGCAAAAGGCATTTAGTGCATCTGCACCAGTTGCCGAAGTCCTAATAGTTTCAACATTGCTGAAAAGTCCAAGTCCCAAGTCTCCTCCAAGATGTATAGCAAACTCTTAGCTATGAGCTGTTGTACAAATGAAAAGTTAAACACTTCAATGGCACAAAATAAACATTACCATTCCAAAAGGTGCAAACAGGGGGATACAGAGCATTGAAACCAAAGCAAATCCAACATCCAGCAGGGCTAACAGTATGTCCTGTAGTTCATGTCCAGCATCTGAAGCAATCTGTGGCACATCTTGAGCTCCAAAGGGCTTACATGAGTCCACCCCTATGGTACTTCCAGTGGTTACAACTACCACAGCTTCTTTCTTGGGTCTACTTTGCTCCCTCCTAGCAGCATTCTTCAGACAGTCCACATTCCTGGCTTTTCCAAACTTTTTTTTTTTTTCCAAACTTCTGAGGTCTCCACCTTTTGCTTTACACTCACAGCTTCACACACTGCCTTCTCAGGGGCACACTACCTGGCCTCCCAGGCCTTCTTCTGAAATCTGGGTGGAAGCCTCCTTAACCTCAGAACTCTTGCATTCTGTATGCACCTAAAACCAGGGCCACGTGGATGACGCCAAGGTCTGCTGCCACCTGGAGCAGTAGCCAAGCTTTCCCCTCTCTTGGCCATTGGGGTTGAGTGCCTAGATTGCTGGGCACTCTGAATCCAATTCTGAGAAGCAAATTCTCTGTGCTGCTGCCATGCTGAAACCTGGTGCAGCCACGGCTGCTATTCTGGAACACAATGCTCTGCGGCTTTCTTTTCAAAGCAAAGTTTTTCACCTCTGCAGTTTCGAGGCTGCAAGGGGTGGAGACTTGCTGCTTCTTGTGATGCCCTCACACCACCTTTTCTATTCTCCAGTTCCTTCTGAATAATGGAGATCTCCTCAGCTCTATCTTTGCAATCCACAGCTTTATAGGAGCTTCCTTTCTGGCCATGCTCATAACATTTTAAATCATCCTGCTGGGCTCTTTGCTCTTGATTCTCAATATAAATCTAGATAAAAGCCCCCAACAATAGCCATGCCACTGCCTCAATGTTCAACTGCCTTGAAGTTTCTTCTGCCAGGTTAATTAGTCCACCGTCCTTAATCTCAGTCTTAGACAAAGTCTCTGGGCACAAGCAAAATGCAGACAAACTTTCTGCCAAGCCATAACATACATCATCTGGAGTCCAGCACCCAATGCAGTCCTTCTTCCCAGCAGAAACCTCCCTAGCCTGGTCTTTACTGGCAGGATTTCTGTCAGCCTTCTGGTCTTCTGAACTCTGACCAGAACCTCCCATAGAGAAGAGTTGAAGGTGTTTTAGCTTTATTTTCACATGACATCTCCAAACCTTTCCAAACACTTCCCACAAGCCATTTCCAAAGGCTTTTAAACCACATGGTCAGGTATAGTCACAGCAATGACTTCGCTCCTGGTACCAAATTCTGTCTACTTTTCTTTTGTTGCTGAGACAAAATACCCAAAGCCCAAAATAAAGGAAGGAAAGGTTTACTTAGCTGACAGTTTGTGGAGGTTTCAGTCCATACTCAGCTAGCTCCAAGGCAGAGTGGCACATGGCAGAGAGCAACAGTTCATGGTGCCGGGAACAGTAAAGCAACAAGAGCACAAGGGAGGAGTGGCAGAGAAGAACAAGCCTCTTTCCCTCCCTGATACTGTAAGCAGGCTACCCCCACCCAGAGGGCATGTAGCACTCACATCATCTCCATGCCCTCCTTTTGCACAGGCTCAGGATGAATACAAAGGAAGCACCCTGGCTCCCCGCTGAATCATACAGTTAACCTTCTAAACTTCTCAAATTGACACAATGAACAACATCCCAGAAGGGTAAGAGCATGTCCTTTCACCTTAAGATGCAGAACTGCTCAGTCACTTAGCCAAACCTCTAGACTCCTCAAATTGACGCACTGTATCAACACAACGAGTATGTAGTGAACTTCTTTATCTCTTGATTGTTCTTAGGTTGAAGTTTACATAGTCTACAAACAGAATAGCTACCCCTTCTTTTTTCTGGGTTTCTGTCACATGGAGTATTATTTTCTATCCCTTGCAATTTCATTCTATAGATTTCCTTTTGAGTTAAATGTGTTTCCTGTATACAGCATACTGTTGGATTTTGTTTCTTGATCCATTCTGCCAGTCTGGTTTTGATTGGTGAATTGAGGCCATTTTTATTGACAGGTGTAACTGATATGTATTGGCTTGTCTTTATCATGTTATTTTCCTGTTGACTCCCTACTTTCCCCCTGTTTAACTGCTTGCTCTGATTGGCGATTCTCTTGTATTGTTCTTGAAGTTGTGGTCATTTTTATCTCTCCAGAGTATCTTGCAGTACTCTTTGTAAGGCTGGATTGGTGGTCATGAATTTCATCAGTTGTTCTTTGTCATGGAAGTATCTTACTTCTCCATCAATTTTGAAAGACAGTTTTGCAGGGTATATCAATCTGGGTTGGAAGTTGTTTTCTTTCAGGACCTGAAATACTTCACTCCATGCTCTTCTTAACTTTATGGTTTGTGTTGAGAAATCTGCCGTGATTCTGATGGGTTTTCCTTCATAGGTAATCTGTTTCTTTTCTCTAACAGCTTTTAATATTCTGTTCTTTTGCTCAATTTCTGGGATCTTGATTATTATGTGTCTGGGTGTAGGTTTATTTTGGTTATGGCTGACTGGAGTTCTATATGCCTCACTTATATGCATGTCAAATTCTTCTCCCATGCTTGGGAAATTTTCTGCTACTACTTCTGCAAATAATCTTTTTATCTCCTTTGTGTTGACTCCTGCTGCTTCGCTGACACCTATCAGCCTTATATTGTTCCTCTTTGCACCATCCTGCAGCTTTTGAATTGTTATTTCCTGGTTCCTTGTTATTTTTAAGAGATCTTGCCTTTCACGATCACTAGCTGCAAAGCTGTCTTCAAGGCCTGAAAGTCTATCTTCAGTTTTGTTCAAGCAGTTATGCCCACTTTCAATGGAATTTTTAATTTCCTGGATCTCTGTCTGAATCTGTTTCATGCCTTCTAATTCTTTCCTGTGGTGTGTATTTAATGTTTCCATCATTTTTCTATGCTCCTCTATTTTTTTACCTATGTCTTTAGATGGGTTGAGCAATTCTTTCATTATTGTTGTCATTTCTTTTTTTACCTGAGAGATTGTTTCTGGTCTGATTTCTTCTATGGCCTGATGAAGTTGTTTCTTTACTTCAGTTGCTATCATTTCTGAAATTTCAGATATATGACTTCCCTGCTCTTCTGTGTCAATGTTTCCTGGACTTATTCTGGGTGGGCTGGAGGTCTGAGATTGCATTTTGCTCCTTCGTTTTGACATTTTTAAAGCTCCTGAAGTTCTCTAGGGCTCAGTGTCACTCCTGCAATGGTGGAGTGTTGGGAGGAGGTTCACTGCAGCTCTCAAAGCTGTCTGAGGCTCAGCAGTGCTCCTGTGATGGTGAGGGGGCAGGGTGCAGCTCACTGAGGCTCTCAAAGTTCCCCAGGGCTCAATGTCACTGTCACAATGGGGGTTCAAGGGATGCCTCACCAAGGCTCCCGGAGTTCACTGGAACTCAGAGGAGTTCTTCTGATGGTGGAGATGTGGGGCACAGGTAACCAAGGCCTCAGAAGATGTCTGGAGTTCAGCGTTGCTCCCACAACAGTTGGGGGAGCAGGGTGTGGCTCACCAAGGACTCCAATCTCTCTGGGGCTCAGTGTCGTTCATGCAACAGTGGGAGGGTGAGGGGGCAGCTCATCAAGGCTTCCAAAGCTGTGTGGGACTCAGTGTGGCCTCCCCGACCTGGGGGTGGGGTACGGTGCAGGGTGTGGCTCACGTAGTTTCCTGAAGCTGTCTGGGGCTCAGTGCTGCTCCCGTGCCAGTGAAGTTGTCAGTCCCGGCTCACTGAGGCTTCTGAAGCTGTCCAGGGCTCAGCATGGCTTCCACAGCAGTATGTTTTCCATCTTTAGGGTGGAGAGGGATAGTAAAAAAGCAGTCTTTTAAATCAATCACCATGAGGGAAAAATGCACCCATTGGTTCCATGGTGTGATTAATAGCCCACAAATTCTATAGTAATCTCCACTTTCCTGACTTCTCTTTTATTACAAAAATTGGGGTGTTCCAAGGGCTATTGGAGGATTCTAGGTGCCCCACGATCATCTGTTCATTAACCTGTGTATGAGCTACTGCAATCTTAGCCTTTGTCTGGGGTCACTGATCAACCTAAACAGGGTCATGGGATATCTAAGTTATAGGGTCAGAGAAGAGATGGAGGCCCCTCCTGAAAATGTGAAGGTGAGCTGCCTATACCAAAACGGTCCTTTTTAGGAATAACTGGAACAGGTTCTTTCCTTCCTTGATTGTTTTTACTAAGCCCTTGAGTGGGAAGGAAACCTTGTTGTAACATCTGATGAGTCAGTAAAGAGGACTAAGCAAAAATGCCCCCATATCCTGTAATACATCATGACCTCATAGATTGACTGGTATATGGGGGAGAATAAAGGTGAAAAATGTCCAGAATGGCCTTCTGCATCCCTCCCAGTTAACAATTTTAGCACTTCTACTAGGGTGAGAAACACTGTCCACCCCCTGTAGATCTATAGTTGCCACACCCAGAGGCCATGCTGTAGGCTAACGGTGTTGTGCAATAACGGAAACATCCACACCTGTGTCTAAAAGCTCTTTGAATGTTTTTCCTTCAATAATGAATTCCATGTCAGGATAATCTTGTTTAATCTGTTCAACCCAGTATATATCAGAGGACTCAAAACCCTTGGATCACCTTTCCTTATTTACAGATTTTTCCAATTTTTGTCAAAGGAAGAATGACCAATTGAGCAGTATACGAGTCTGGTGTGATCTGAATAGAGTTTTGAATAGACTGAACTATAACCTTGATTTCCCCTGTATAGTCAGTGTTGATGACACCAGGCAACACCTGGAGGCCTTTTAAAGTGAGACTGCTGCAGCCTAGCAGGAGACTCACTGTTCCATGAAGCAAAGGTCCAGACTCCAGTGGAAATAACTTGGGGTCCCATTTCTGGAGTTAGTATGAATCTGGAGAAGCAACTGAAGTCCAAGTCTCTGCTATCTTTTGTCAACCACCAGAGATCAGAAACATGCTTGGCACTGGAGGGTAGGATTGGGGAAGAATTAGGAAAAGCACCCCCACTGTTTGATGAGGCTGAAGCAGCCCCTGCTGGAAGTTTCCTGAAATGGGTAGGCCTTCCACTTTAGTTTTCCATCTACACTCATTTGCCCAGTGATACCTTTGTCTACACTTTGGACAGATAATAGGTTTTGCTGAAGGGACAGACAGCAGCTGTGCTGCCCCTTCAGGTGCAGTGGAGCAATTTTTGGCAAAATGCCCCTTGCCCCAGCTGTTGAAACAAGTAACCCTGTGTTTTCCCTTTCCTCTAGGCTGCGGATGAATAATATGACTGATAGCTGCTGCCAAGGTAGCCCCCTGCACATATGAGGGTCCAATGTCTGCATAAATTTGAATTATCTCAGCCAGTGTAGACATTTTTTGTGGGCTTTTTTTTTTTTTTGTGGGCTTTTTTTGTGTGTGTGTGGGCTCTTAAAGCCTCTTTACACCACTTATTTGCATTTTCAAAGGCCACTGTGGCAGCTATTTTAATTTGTTCATACACTTATAATTCAAAAGTAAGTTGACTATTTGTGACAGCAAAGGCCACTTGTCCAGTTAACGTGTCTTTTGTAATGACTATGTTGTAAGTGACATTAAGAGCAGCCTGATCCATGCAAAATTCAAAAAAAATTCCTTTCCACAAAAAATAATCCCCTGGACTTAAAACATGCTTTAGTCCTTTCCAATCATTTGGGGCCATTATCTGTTGTCCTATAAGTTCTATTAAACCTAAGGTAAAAGGGGCCATAGGGTCATGAGTAGCAGTAGCTTGTTTTAATTCTTTTAAGGTCTTACAGAGTTCAGCTTCATGAAGACATATAACTAGTCCCGGATTATTGATAACTTGAGCTTTAGTAACAGGGTAGAGATGCTGAAAACTTTCCACAGACTCCCCTACTTGTCTGGCTTCTTTTAGTGCTAATTGCAGGGAGAGACAGAAAATGGCTGTACTCCCTGCGAGGTGGAAGTTCCAATCTGTGACAGCAAAATCTCTCTGAGCTGAAAAGGCAGGAATTGCTGCTTGTGGCTCAGTTAAGGTTATGGGGGGCCGGTGCTTGGGGGACCTGTTATTCCGCCATCTTTCTCCTGCTCAGGACTTGATTTTATTTTATTTTATTTTATTTTATTTTATTTATTTATTTATTTATTTATTTTTTGGTTTTTCTCCGGTACCAGGAACTGAACTCACGACCTTGCGCTTGCCAGGCAGGCGATTTGCCACTGAGCTAAATCCCCAGCCCCAGGACTTGATTTTAAATAACAGCTCCGAGCCAAATCCTCTGTGGTTGTCTGAACAAACTTATGACCATTAAAGCACTTCCTACTGCAAATCCACAAAAGTAAACACAGGAATCAAGAATACAATGAACAGCTCCATATACATTTGTTGTTCTTAAGACTCTGCTTCCCCATGTTTAACATCTGATACAAATCAATACACCTCTCTCCTCTCTCCCTTTTGTTTCTCCTGAACATGTTTTTCTCTTTGGCCCTAGTGAGTTTTTCTCTTGCCCCAAGTTTTATACCTGATTATATCAATATCAATACACTTCTGTGTTTAATATTGATACTACAATGCACTTCTCCCCCTTTTGTGCACAATGAGAAGTGTCCCCTCACCCACTACTTCTTACCCTGGTTGTGTGTTTAGGCACCATATGCTGCGTCCAGGGCAGCTCTTGAAGTTCTCGGGGTTGGGGAGGACAGCAAGAGGATGGAGAAATACAGGTAAGAGACAGAAAGCTGAGGTCAGGTAGAGAGCCCTACCTCTGGCTGAAAGGAAAAGGAACTGCTCAACCACTGTAGCTTGTTTACTTATACTCTCAGGAGGTTGATGTCAATTTCAACCCCTCTGCCTAGCAACTTTGTATAGCTTACCTGAGCACCTGGCATTCTTGGAAATGGAACAACTTGTTTTTGTGGCTTGCTTCACACACGTGATTGATCTCCAGTTTTGTGATAGATCTCCAGTTGTAGCTGCTCTCCACACCAGGCCAGCCTGAGCTACATGAGACCTGTCTCAAACAAAACAAAGTTAAATGAACTTAAATCAGTAGGTTGTAGAGCCAGAATCTGAACTTAGTTCTGATTCATAATCCCCAACAGTGGGCCAGATGTGGTTGCACATGACTGTAATCCCAGCACTCAAGAGGCTGAGGCAGGAGAATCTGTGAGTTTGAGGCCAGCCTAGGGTACACAGTGAATTCACAGCCAGTCCAAACTACATAGCAAGACCCTGTCTCAAAAACAAAAACACAATCCCCATACTGTACTGCTTTCTGCTAGGCCATTTGTTTAAAAAAAAAAAAAAAAATCTCAGTAATATAGTCAACCTTACAGAATAATTAAATTTCAATTCTAAATTATCATTTCTCAGGGACCTTGATGGTAGATCACCATCATTGTACAATTAAGGTATACGTTACTGGATATACTATCTCATAGGCCTTCACCTCTAAATTTTTTTTTTTTTTTTGTCTTTTTGAGACAGAGTCTCGCTATGCAGTTCAGACTGGCTTTGAGCTCATTTTGTAGCCCAAGCTGGTCTCGAACTCACAACGATCCTCCTGCCTGAGCCTCTTGAGTGCTGGGATTACAGGAGTGCGTCACCATGCCTGGCTTCTCCTCTAAATTTTATTTCCAAGTTATATGAGTCAAACAACCAATAGCCTTTTAGCATCTACTAGGTTAAGGCAAAAGACACGGTTATTGTGGAAAAGAAAATAAAGAATTTATAAGATCTTGTCCTAAAGGAGCTCTATGTAACATGGACAGACACTGTGCTAGTCAGCATTTTGTGGCAGACATACATAGCTTAAAAGAGAAAGGTTTATTTTGGCTCAGGATTTCATGGGTTTCAGTCAATGGTTGGTAGGCTCTGAAGCAGAAACATCACGGTAGAGGACAGCAAAGAAAAGCTGCTCACTTTACGGCAGCCAGAAAGCAGAGTGCAGGGCAAGAGCCCAAGAGGAAGGGTCCAGGAACCAGATAGGGTCCTCAGGGTCTTGTGCTCATGAACCACCCAGATACAGCTGGAAGTGTGCTTCATTAATCCCCTAGGTGTCTCTTGAGAGTCAAGATTAACCATAGTGCTGCAAGGCAGGATTTCCTGAGACCACATGAACCCTCTCAGGTTCTAGTAGGGGAGAAACTTGTGAGCTTGCTATATTTTCTTTTCTTCTTCCTTTCCCACTCTTATGTCTTTGTCTCTCTTTTCCTTGATCCCTCCCCCTCTCCTCTCTTCCTTTACTAAAACAATCAGAGATAATATATATACATAGGTAATCAAAGAATGAATGCAGGAGGCCAGCCTGCACTACCAGGTGAGTCTCTGTCTCAAAAAAACCAAAAAAAAAAAAAAGGAACCCAAGCAAATAATATTGAAAATTATACTGAAAATTCCTGTTAGCCAGGCGTGGTAGCTCACACCTGTAATCCCAGCACTAGAGAGGCTGAGGCAGGAGGATCATTGCAAGTTTGAGACCAGCCTGGGCTACAAAGTGAGCTCAAGGCCAGCCTGAACTGCATAGTGTGAGACCCTGTCTCAAAAAAACAAAAAAAGAAAATTCCTGTTAACCTGGCCATGTTACAATACCTGACACTCACAGGTAAAGGGAGAAAGCTTTATTTTAGCTCACAGTTGTAGAGGTTCCAGTCCATAGTTATAGCATAGCAGAGAAGGTTTGCTCAGGGCATGGCAACGGCAAGCGGAGAAAGATCAAGGGAGAAAGGAAGGAGATGGACCTATCCAGGTCATGCCCCAGTGACTCATCTCCTTCACTTCCCAACATCACATCTGGGACAAACCCACTGATGAGTACCACACTTTCATGATCCAGTCACCTCCCCAAAACCCAACCTATAAGCAATGAAGTTTTGTGGTGACATTCAGATATAAACCATAACAAACTCAGCGTAAAAACTCCCACCTATAGAAGTCTGGGTTCAATCTTTAGTTACAAACAACCAAGACTAGCTCAGCCAAAGAAATGGGAGCATACTCTCTGACATACAAAATCATGAGAAGTTGGATGACTATGCCCTTGTGGGCAGAGACCAGGTAGCTCAGGACCTCGAGGTGGGAAATAAAACAGCTTCTCTGGGGTAGAGGGGTCAGGGTAGAACAGCTGTAGCTGTCTTCTATCCTTAGGTCACTGTACTCAGGATTGGGCTTGTAGGGAGAAATGGGACTGGCCCAGGTGGGTCATGGGTGGATCAAAGAGCTGACAGTCTAACATGTCTATGTAACTGTTTCATCAACTGAGCTCAGTTAAAATTGTCACTTCTTCAGGGATGACACACCTGACCCCTAGTTGAGGCTGGGTCCCTTTCATATATAACCATAATTCCAGGTAGCACTCCACTCTTTAGAGTGTATACTTAGCCAAGTGGTCTCTGATACATCCAACACCACTACCAGCCAATACAGTCCATGGGACAGGCATGCTTTCCACTTTCTCAGGGGCCTAGGACTGTGCCTGGCACATAGAAGACCCTGGATATTTGTTGACTAAACTGATTAATGAGCATATATGAATGAACAGAATACAAGAATATCAAGAGGTAACCATGGGAAAATAGAGTTGGCATGAGTCAGGAGGACTGTGAATGTCAAGCTATGGAGTTTTCAGTTCTACTCCACAGGCATCAGTGAGACTCTATGGGTTTTTAAGAAAGGATACAGTGTGCGAATGCTAAGTGGGTTCAGACTGTACTCTAAGAGGAAAACGAAAATACTGTCAATAAAATCATCTCTTCAAGTGGGTGCAATAACAATGGGAAATAAAATACTGTGTAATTAAGAGATTGAGCAAAGTATCACTAATAAGGCCCACTTAGTGACCTTTCACATAAGCAATATTACTTTCTAGTTTCTTAATTCTAAAAGTAACAAAATCACAATTTCCAAAAATTTAGAAGACAATTATCCACAATCCCACCATTTCAACAAAACCACAATTATTATTTTACTGTTTTTCTTATTCACGTCTTCCACTTCACTTCTTAGATTGGATTCTAAGAAACAGAATTGCTTGTTTAAAAGTCATTAACATTTTGTTGTTGTTATTATATATGTATATCCACTTAGTAAAAGCACTATTTAAAGTACCAGTTTCTAACCAGCATTTCAATTTTAAAAAAAATTTTCAATACAAATGAACATTTTAGGTTGGGTGTGGTGGCCTGCAAACTATAATCCTAGCACCCTGGAGAGCTAAGACAGGAGGACAGAAAGTTCAAGCCCAGCCTGGACAGCTTAGCAACTTAGAAAAAACTTGTCTCAAAATAAAAAATAAAAAGGACTGTGGATGAAATTCAGTGGAAAGGCCTTGAATTCAGTCCCTAATACCTAACACACACACACACACACACACACTCTCTGTCTCTGTCTCTGTCTCTGTCTCTGTCTCTGTCTCTGTCTCTGTCTCTCTCTCTCTCTCTCAGCAAACCAGGGGAACTGTGAAGATTTCTTTAAATAATAATATTAAGAGGATTCATACATGTGGCTTTTCCATTACTTTGTTATATATTAATTTTTCTAAGCACATTTATTTATTCTACTACCTATTCTAAACTTCTACTCCAAGGAAAAAAAATCCACTAAAAGAAATTAAGTCTTTTGATTATTGCTGTTCTTTTTTTAAAGGTAAGAAGATCTAGTCCACCCTATAATCAGCAAGAATTACACCTTCAGCCAAGACCTGAAAATCCTGAAAATACAAAGCAGGCTAACACAATGAACACAGTTGCATAAAAGCAATTATTAGGAAGCACTGTTGATTTACTTTTGTTGGTTGAATAGCTAATCAAATTGAGTTAAAATGAAGATTTCCTCCTAAAAAGTCACATGTACATATGTAGAATATAATGTATTGGTAGTTCTTTGTATATTAAATAAATATTAAGTCACCTAAGTGTTTATGTTCCACAAATGTGCCACTTTCTAACCAGCAAATGTTCTTCCTTCAACTTGTTTTTGAATTTAAAGTATATTATAGCTGGGCATGATGGTGCACCCCTGTAACCCCAGTACTCAGGAGGCTGAGGCAAGAGGATTGCTGCAAGCTCGAAGCCAGCCTGGGCTACAGAGTCAGTTCCAGGTCAGCCTGAACTGTGTAGTGAGACCCTATCTCAAAAAAAAAAAAAAAAAGTATATAATTGACTTCTAAAAATCTGTAATTCATTTCTTCATTTAGCAAAGACCAATAGTTTCTGTATATTTTTTATTGCAGCAAAGTACACATAGCATAAAGTTTACTGTTTTAACTATTTCTAAGCATACAGTCCTGTGGCATTAAGTACATTCACTGCTGTGACCTGCATAGCCAATGGGGTTCTGAGAAAGGGTGATGAGAGATTAAGAAAAAACTATAGACACATACTAAAAGGAAAGCTGGGACTGAGTGAGACTTGATCTGATAGAGGGGCAGTGACAACCCAATGTGGTCTGCCTCTATTTATATACTGTAAAGAGGGGTGGGAGGAAGTGCACAACAGCACCAACTGCAAGGTCTCAGTGTTTTGCTGAGAACAATGAAAGCCAAACATTCTCAGAGCTATCTGTGCTATAGCTGACTGGGAAGAATTTCAAAGCCAGGCACTTGCTAGACTGGCCTTGCTGTAGTCCCAGCAACTTGTTTACTTGGCTTGCCTCTGGAGCTCCATGTTTTCGGGACTGGCCTGGCTCTAACCCCAAGGAGTTTGCTGACCTCCGGCTCAGCTGCTCCCCACATTCACAGTGTGCAAACATTACCATCCACCTCTGGAACACCTGTCATCTTTCCAAACTGCAACTCTGTACTAAATACTAAGCCCCCATTCTGCCTGCCCCAGCAATCACCATTGTACTTTCCGTATCTGGGAATCTGACTGCTATAGGGACTTCATAACAAGTGGAATGATACAGTATTTATCCTTTTGTAACACCTACGTTCCACTTAGTATAATGTCTTCAAGGATCACCCATGCTGTAACTTGTCACAGTATCCTATTTTAGGTTTTGTAATATCCCATTGTATGTATAGATCTAATTTTGCAGATCTGCTCATCCAGTGATGGGCACTGTATTGCTTCTACCTTTTCACTACTAATAATGCTGCTTTTATGGGTATGGTGGTACACATCTGTAATCTCAGCACTCTGGGAGGCTGAGGCAGGAGGAGCACTATGAATTCAAGGCCAGCTTGGGCAACATAGTGAGTTCAAAGCCAACCTGAACTACATACCAAGATCCTGTCTCAAAGAAACAAAACACAATAAAATAATTTTTAAAAAGAGTAATTAAAGATATTTTAAACCTTTAAAGAGCTTTTTAGCCAGTCTCAATCCAGAAGGTCTTTCTTGATAGAAAGGCTTCTAAGAGAAAGTTTAGAAGCAGCCAACTGTATATAATCAGGTGAAGAAGATACAGCTTTTCCTAAATCATAACCAGAGGCTATAAAAAAAAAAAGAGAGAGAGAGAGAGAGAAACTACTGATAAAATCCTGGGTTCCTTGGTTTATAGTAAACCTCAAATAAATATAGCCTACCCAGCCACACATTTCATGTATTTGCTATAGAAGGTGCCAAAAAATAAGTTATAAAGGCAAATTATTTTCTAGTTTGGAGAGTGGGAAGAGATAGGAGTGGGGTAGGTCAAGCTCAAAGCAGCCAGGTGAAAATAAGCCTTGCATACAGACTCACCTGGATTTCAGCCCAGATGTGACTAGTGGAAGGTCAAAGACTGTAGCCAAGACCCTCAACCTCAATAAACCTGTGTCATTTCTAAAATGATAAAAATTTTTGTTCTATAGGATAGTTATGAGAACTACATTAAATATACCTTAATGTGTGGTTCATAGTAAGCATCAATAAATAGTAACTATATATATGTATTTTTTTTTTTTTGAGACAGGGTCTCACTATGCAGTTCAGGCTGGCCTTGAGCTCACTTTGCATTCCAGGCTGGTCTCGAACTTGCAACGATCCTCCTGCTTCAGCCTCCCGAGTGCTGGGATTACAGGCTGCGCCACCACGCCCAGCTAACAGCAACTATAATGATGAAAAAATATGAGATACTTGACTCATTCCCCCCCATATTACAAATATTAGCATACTGAACCAAGTATGGTGGTGCACACCTATAATCCCAGCACTGTGGAGGCTGAGGCAGGAGGATTACCTTGAGTTTGAGGTCAGCCTGGGCTACACATTGAGTTCAAGACCAGCCTGAACTACACAGTGAGACCCTGTGTGAAAAAAACCCCAGTATATTAAAAATAAATGTTTCTCATCTCAAAATGAACATTTAAAAAGGGCTGGAGATGTAACTCTTATTAACCTGTCTTTGTTATAGACATGTTGGCCCTGACTTTGAGATGGATGAGAAAAAACCTACTACTTCTACTGATCAACTTATAGGAGGGTCTACCTTCCCAAAGGTGATACAGGCTGCTTTTAAAGTCACTACCCTAGAGGTGGGTGGAGAAGTAGGGGGAAGGAAAGAATCTCGAATGACCTAAGAAGGGCTAGCTGAGTGTCGGGATATACACCAACTTAAAATACCTGCTGTTCTGTAAGCCAGTACGTTTCTGTTTACTGTGGCCTTGTGAGCACGCGTATCACCAAATAGCAATAGCACCAATTTTTTATGAGGGCTGTGAAAATTTTCCCCAAACAGTTCCTTATTTTGTTCTTGATACTATCTTTTCCTTCCAATTAACCCAAATAGCTATTGCGTAAATTGTCTCTTTTTCTGTCTTTTTGAAACCCTATGCATTTCAGGCTGTCCTTGAGCTCCCTTTGTAGCTCAGGCTGGCCTCAAACTTACAATGATCCTCCTGCCTTAGCTTCAAGTGCTGGGATTACAGGCGTGCACCACCATGCTTGCCTGTAAACTGTCTTTAAGATTCAACTTATAAAGTTTTCAGGCCACATAAAAGCATGTGACATTGTTTTACCTGGCTAGATGCGGCAGGGCTGCAGATGAGAGATTTATCTAACTTCTTCCACAGTATTTCCATCATAAAAATTTTAAGCTTAGAGCAGAAGACACCAGAGTCTTGCTATGTCAGCTTCCCTCACCGTGACAGAATACCCTAAGTAATCAGCTTAGAAGGGAGAAAGGTGTACATACTTTGGGATCAAGGTTTTAGTCTTTGGTACTTGGTTGCCTGCCTTCGGGCCTGTGGCCACACCACAGCACCCCATCACCGAACAGCTTCCCGCTTGGCAGCCAGAAGCAGAGGCCGCAGCCAAGGTCCCAATTTCCTCTTGAAGACCACGCCCCCAGTGACCCCACTTCCGCCCACCAGGGCCTACTTCCGCCCTTTCCAATGGCGCCACACACTGGCGACATGACTTTTATCACGGGCCGTCGGGGGACCCTGAGACATAGCACTGGCGCGGTTGTTAAGCAGGAGAGAGGCAGAAAATAACCATGGGCTCGGACTGGGGGCCTTGGGTGGGGCACTGCGAGGTCCGGGGGCCAAGCGCCAGCACACACAGAAATAAAAGTCACAGCGTTTCCTACGATTCCACAGAGCCCAGCCCCCGTGCTTCTCTCCCCTGCCCCAAGCGCGCACACATTCGCGCCGTTCCCTGTGGAAACCCAGGACCCGCGCCGGCCTCTCCGGTCTCCTCCCGGACGGAGGCCGCCGCCCGCCCCCTCGGCCTGGGCCAACTCAGCTCCGCGTCCCGTCTGGCATCCGGCCGCCGCTGTCCTCCACGTCTCTCCGACGTGGGTGCAACTCACCTTCACCCCCACTTCAGCGTGGCAGCTGCCATTTTGAAGAAGAGAGGAGCCGCCCCGCTGTGGCTAGGCCCAGGGTGGAAAGGCTCCGAGCCCACCGCGCGCCTCCCCGGCCCACAGACCGCCTTCCAGAAGATTCCCTGCTTTCAGCACCGCCCCCTCACTAGGCCCGGGTGAGGACGAGGCTGTCTTGGAGTCCTGCACCAATCACAGGTCCGCAGCTGCAGCTGCACCAATCACAGGTCTGCACTTGCGCCAATCACAGGTCCGCAGCTGTGCCAATCACAGGTCCACAGCTGCACCAATCACAGCTCTGCAGCTGACCTGCACCAATCACAGCTCTGCAGTGTTGCCTATAGGCAACACTCCGCCAACAACCCCTCGGTTACTACGGAGGGCTGTCTCCTGAGTAGTTGCGCTCTGCTGAGCAGCACAGGCTGTGGTAAAGGCTTCTCTTAGTGGTCCTGCAAGCCTGCTCACTTATTTCTCAGGTACTTCGTGCTATGACAAATCCTCAAACTCTACCCAGGACTGTCAGCGGTCCCTTTCATTGTAATAAACAGATCTCCGCAATGTTTAGTTTGTCTGCCCGAAATAGGGGTCGAACCAGCCTGGCTTAGAACGGGGTGAACCCTGAAACCGTACAACGAGAGCTATCCTTCTGGGCCCAGGCCCCGAGAATAGGGATTTGGTCGTTTTCTCTTGGTTGTTTGGAGGCCCGGCCTCGCTGCGTTGTCCAAACTGGCTTTTGTCTCTTGATCCCTGCCTCAGCCTTCCAGTGCTGGGAATGCAGGCATGCACTCCGCACTCGGATCCAAAGGCTTTTACTTTTTATTTCACTATTTACCGGTTCGAAAGGCTTTTATTTAAGCCAGGCATGGTGGCACATGCGTGTAATCCCAGCACTTAAGAGGCTGAGGCAAGAGGATCGACGCAAGTTGGAGGCCGGCCTGGGCTACAAAGTGAGTCCGGGCCAGGCTGAACTAAATAGCGAGACCCTGTGTCAAACAAACAAACAAACAAAACAGCTTTTATTTTTTGTTATTTATGAGGTGCCGAGGATTGAACCCATGGCTTTCGTACAAAGCTCCCTCTCGGGCCATTTCTTTTTTTTTTTTCTGAGGCAGAGTCTCGCTAATTGAGGCTGGGCTCCAATTTGCGATCCTCCTGCCTCAGCTTCCTGAGCGCTAGGAACTGGAGCGCGCCACCCGCCGGGCTCCACCGCTCCTAAGGGCCGGGCCGCGCGCTGCTCGGGATGCGCGCGCCGCACGGACACGTGCGCGGGGCTCGGCCGGCAGGAAGGGGCGG